ATGCTCCTAGCCAAGGAAGGTAGGTCATCCAGGAGTGGAGGCAGGGGCTGTAAACCTTGTTTTTTTTTTTTTTTTTTTTTTTTTTTTTTTTTGAGGTTATCTAGTAAGGCTATCTCAAAAAACAAAGAAACGTCCAGGAGTGGAAGTGGAGCACTTGGGAGGTGGATGCAAGAGAATCGGGAGTTCAAGGTCAACTCTAGCTAAGTAGCAAGTTCAAGTTCAGGGTGAAATATATGAGACTTTGCCACACACAGGAATACACTACTGCCAGCAAACAGAAGCACTGTTTTGTTTGCTTGGTTTTGTGTAAGACATTTACTTGTTCTTATAGACTTAACTTTTAAGAACACATGCTTTTTTCACTTAACTTTTATTTCTTCTCTCATACATTATATACCAACCGTAGGCTCCCCTCCCCCCCCCCCCGCCACTCTTCCCAGTCCGTTCCCCCACCTCCCCTCTCCCACACATCAACTCCTCCTGTTTCCTAGGAGAGACAGAGACAGAAAGACAAAGAAATAGAGATTTCTCAGGAATATCTACCAGATGGCCTAGCAAAATACAGTAAGGCTGATACAAACCCTCATACTACAGCTGGATGTGGCAACTTGGTAGGAAAAGGGTCCCAAGCACAGGTATCAGAGTCAGAGACACCCCCCCCCCTAATCCCATGCCGTTTTTGGGAGTCCAGAACATCAAGCATCAGGCATATACAGAGGACCTAGTACTAAACTGAGAGGCTCTGGCCCTTAGTTGTATTCTGTTCCTGGGGATTGAACCACATGCTAAACAAGCCTAAGCTGGCTGTACTTTGCAAAAACACCTTTCTAAAGACTGTTGAGTATATCTCTCTTTTCTTCCCTCCCACCCACCTATAAACCCAGTGTGTGTGTGTGTGTGTGTGTGTGTGTGTGTGTGTGTGTGTGTGTATGTGTGTGTGTGTACAGACAAGCTTATACAGGTCAGAGGACAACCAAATGCTGGTGAGAACCTGTCACTGACCTGGAGCACTGATGGGTAAAATAGGTCACAGGGAGGAAGTCAAGGTAAGATAGAGCTTGTAAAGTTTAAAATAAAAAGGAGGTAACTGTGAACCAAGCAAATGGAGAACAAATGACGGAGAGAGGAAAAGTGAACACATGCCAAATCTAGACGTCAGCCTGTGGAAACCAACCAGTTAAAGGGAGGGACAGCGTTTTAATACTAGAGTTTTGGTAATTTTATTATTGCTGCATTTTGTTTTGTTTCTTTGGGTCCTGGCATTTTAATCACTGCAGCCCAAAGAGGACACTTTAGATTTTCTTGAAAGTATTTAAAATGAAACTGCTCTGTGAGGCACAAATCGCTCGGATGGACTGCAACACATAGTAAGATTGCAGGATGTCTGCAAATTTACCAAATGTTTGCTTTTCCACAGAAACCACTCAAAACAAGTCCATTGTTTGCTGAAAAGCTACGGTCATTGTGCAGAATCTGAGATACAGATAAATGTCATGTGTTTCAGGAATTGGGGAGCTGGTTCAGCACAGCAAGGGGGTGGGTGTAGATAATGCTTTTGACAGCTGAACCGAACCTAAACATATTCCCTTAAGTCACTAGATCTGTTCCTTGGGAGCTAAGGTTCAAGAAAACTGCGCTTCCGTGTTAGACTGCATGCATGTTCTTCCCCAGTCCAGCACATCCTTTCCTTGAAGTAACACTTCCCAGGATGCTGAGAGGTCACCCAGGACTCACTGAATCTTTTCCGGGGATCAAGAACACTGCCCTTCTTAAACAGTCCATGAAAATAGATTCCCCACCCCTTTCCCTTTTGAGACAAGATCTCATGCAGACTTGAGTTGGCATAGAGTTCACTATGTAGACCGGGTTGACCTCAAACTAAAAATCCTTTGTCCACCAAATCCTGGAATTATAGGTATGTGCTACCATATCTACCTCTAGATGTGTTTCAGACATTTTTTCTTTTGCAGAAAAAAATAATACAAAATTTGGGAGATTAAGAAAACAAGATGGCAAGACCCCCACATTGAAGACATCTTTGGATGCAGAATCAAAAAACCAGCTTCAACTGCCTAGGAAACTGCTGGCTAGCGTATAGAGCATCAGATGGTGCTATGCAAGCTGCTGGGCAAGAAAAGCTATTGGTGGTCAAACCTGAATGGGAATTTGCATGGTACCATATTGAACTCCCTAGCAAGATATGCTCACTGGCTCAGTAAAGGCATGCTGGTTATGAGGGTAACCAACCATATTCTAGCTAGTTATGAAGCTTACTTTAAATGATGGAATTTGTGCCCTGTACTGTAAACCTAGTCAAGAGCCAAGAAAGCTCGCTGGCCCTAGGAACCGTAACTTTTGTTAAACAGCCACACTGTAAACTGCCTTCTCAATAATGTTTATACTCATGGGCTTGTGTTGCTCTCAAGGTTAAAGGAACATTGCAGAAATGGCTAGGAAGGAAAAGCTGGCCAATAGGGAGAAGTATGGAATATTGAATTCAGTGCATGTCATAGCTGATGCACCCATCCATGGACAGCAGCTATGATTACCTGCACAAAATCAAACCAGCCAATATTCCAGCATAGACGGCCCCATCCTTGGCAGAGAATCGGTAAGCAACTGACATCTGATGAACCAGGGAGGTACTCTGCTTTGAGAACATGGATGCTGGAGGAGCTATGGGGGAGTTGGGAGGAAGGATGGACATAAACATATTGCATGGTTTGAAGAAAAATATTTTTACAAAACCAATTGACACAGTGTGGAAGCTACTTTCATTCCACTTTTAAATATGTGAGACAAAGTCTCATGTACCCCAGCGGGCCTACATCCCTTGTCTGGTTTATATGATACTGGGGATTGAACTCCAAGTTTCTTCGAATTAGGGTAAAACAAATACAAAACAAACAAACTAACAACTGAGCTACAGCCTCACACAAATGCTGTATTAATAAATGCACTACCACTAAAATAATTACTAAAGAATGCTAGAGATATAGCTCAGTGTAACCAATGTAACCAAGACCTTGCAAAGCATGGAAGGACAAGGCCGCAGGTTCAATCCACATTGGGAAAAGAGAAAAAGTGTTTGTCACTAAGTTTTGGTGACCTCAACAAGCTCCCCATGGCTGCAATCTCATACTCAAGTGCCACTGCTGCCCGTCATGTGACAAGCTCTGCCACCCTGGGGACTTCCAAAGACACTCAGTAATGAATTCCAAGTGCCATGCAAATGTCTGCAGAACAGGTACATTGCAAATACCGAGAAACTTAATGCTTCCTAGAAATGGCCCAGCATGTGGCTTGGTAAAAGCACTTTCACTTTAAAACTTTGTACACTTCATAGTCACAGACCATGAACATGTCTGCTTCTGCTACCACGTGATGCTAAACAGATCCTATGTGAGTATGCTTCCAAAACATAAGGCAAAAATAGCTTACAAGAACTCAACATCACTCCATTTCATTCTACATTGTTGCTATTTACAGTGACTTTATTCTGTATTTCCAGGCTACCCATTCAACAACTATTTTACGATTTGTAAGACTAACTAGAACGGTTCCCCAACCTCAAAAACATCTACCTACATCTACCTTGCAAGACCTGTATCAGGTTGCACAGCAGAGAAATGAGGTCACAGATGACACCCATTCAGCTGGCTTTCAGAGAGGAAGACTGTCTTGGGGATTACTTAGGTGGGCAAATGAAACCACACACACATATAAGTAAAGGCACCAGAAGGTCAGAGATGGTAACTGGGCCTCTTCTCTGCCTTTAAATAGGGGAAGTGACTAGGAACGGGGGGGGGGAGAGAGAGAGGGGGAGTAGAAAAGGTTAAGTGGATGGATACTCTAGTGTGATACCTACCCTTGGTTGTCAACTTGACTATATCTGAAATTAAAATGTCTGGGTACGCCTGTGATAGTTTAAGTGATTTGAAGCGGGAAGACCCATTTAAGCATCTTTAATCTGTGCCACACTCTGCTGGCAGCCTTTTATAGCTCCCTTTGCTTGCTCTCTGCAAGGTCCATTCCTTCATTAAGCACTAGAGCCTACTTCTCTGGCAATCCTGACATCACTTTAGACCAACTGCCTAATCTTGTGGACTCAACAACTGCTAGATTCTTGTACCTTTCATTGGTTGGACTAGTTGGATCGAAGCCTATAAGCCATTGTAATACATAATATCCTTTAAGTTCTGTCCCCCTAGAGGACCCTAATACATCTGGATTCCCCAAAAAGAGCACACCCTGTGGCTACCTCTCTTAGATGTGTATCACATTTGCATCTGCAGAACTGCAATGAGCTGCTGTGGCCTCATCCCAGAAGGAATGGACGAGTGCAGGAGAGTATAGACGTGTGGTTAACATACACTAGCCTACCTGTATCAACTGATATGTGGGGGTTTGGACATGTGGTTAACATGCATTACACTAGTTGACCAATATCAACAGATGTGTTGGGATATAGCTGCCTTTCTATTCCTATTTGAGTTAGGCCGTCGAGAAGGGGCTCAGGAATGCTGATGGAATGAGTAGGACTATAAATGCTTTTTGCTTCCCTCTCATTCTCAATTTTCAGAGGACAACCACCGATCACACGTGACTGTGGAGGAAAGCAAAGTGTAACTGGGAATCCAACTCTTGAGTACAGCAGTCTAAACTTGGGCAATTCCCCAGGTATGTCAACTATTCACCTATCAAGGATGGACAAAGGTCACACGAGACACGAATGCTCAATACAAGATCTAGCATCCAGGCCTCGTGGCAGCTGCCTTTCTCCATTCAAAACCCCCACTATTTTTTACTTGCACCCTAGAAAACAAGTCAGGTGTCAGGTGAACCCACAAACCACATACATCAGTTGAGGCAGATTTCCTAACATGTGGATACGTAGCCCATTTCTTCACCATCATGTAAACACTGACTAACCTTTGGATTGGCCTCGTGTAAAGGACTTTCTTTTCCCTAGCAAGTTAACTTCCAAAATAAAAGTAGACCAAAGTTAAAAATACTTTATTTAAATGGAAACCCTTCATTTTAGAACTTTCATAATGATGATAAGACTTCAGAAGCAAAGATGAAAGAAGTATATTGTAATCCTTGCAATTCAGACAAAAACGTTTGACTGCTATTTTCTCTAGTGAGAACAGCAAGGTTGATTCAGTTTCAAAAACCTGGTAACGCTCCATTAGGAACAATTTTCTTAATTTTGTGGAGTTACTGGCATTCTTCTTCATGGGCACAAGAAGGTAAGAACACTGATCGCTCTTGATTGGGTCTCAAGTGTTACCATCATCTGGCAGCTACCGCTTTATGTTTTAAACATCAGCAGAGGATGTATTTCAGGGTGTAGGTAAAGTTTATATCTGAAAGAACAACAGTCTCCTGTATTTCCTATTTCAAGTCAAACTGGCATATTCAGTTTTACAGTTGCCCTACAAACAAATCATTTTACAAAAAAATTCAAAATACATTTCACTTAAAAGTTCTGCAGTTTCACAATGATTACTGAGTCCGTATAACAAAGTTTAATCATATATAAGTGTTCAGAGTCGTAAGAGCAACTAAGTAGGTAACCATGAAGCTCCCTGCTGGCAGTTCTAAACACTAGCCTCTTTAGAAGTGGCGCATCTAAGATTGAAAAACAGCCGTTCCTCTCTTAGGTAATGTCTACATACTCTTGCTGAGTAAAAGAATAATGTCTCAAGGAAAAGAAGCTTTGAAGAACCTCTTTTACTACTGAATTTCAAATCACACACACAAAGTAGGTGAGAAATTCTTTTATCATATTTAGAATCAAAATATCCCTTAAAATATTTACATTTTACAGTAAAAAGGATAGCAAAACACAAGATCATGTACAAGCTTAAGTATTCAAGTTTCTGAAGAGCAAGGAAGGAAAGGGATACGGCCTACCCCAAACTGCAGTACATGGTAAGAATGCCCTTAATGTGTGCAGATTAAAGCGATAAATGGACTTCTTGGACTTCTGACTCACGGGCAGAAACCGCCCTACTAGGTGACTAGTATGGTCTGATTATGAGCTCGCTTGACTTTTTTGTTGCTCCTCTACATTTTCTTTAAAAACAGTGCAATTGAAAACAAATGTACAGAGCACAGATTACTTTCAAATCAGTCATTATATAAAGGACATTCACTAGAGGCAGTAAATATATTCCATAGTTAACCATATTTACTAATTAAGGAATAAAACTAAATTTCTAAGCCTTTATTGCATATTAATAAAACAATCTTTGAATATACAGCATTGTAAAACTTTTAAAAATATTAAATTCCTGTAAGTAGGACAGTGTGTATGAAGGGATGGTGGGCGCTGGTGCAGACAGGGCACTCTGCTCCAGCAGCTTCCTGCTCTGCAAGCCACCAGCAGGGAAGATTTAAAAGGTGGCACAGTCCTAGCAGGCAATCTTATAAAGGTACACAACATGTAACAGTTCTTTAAAGGCGACACTGAAGCGGCCTGCAAATTTCACCTTTTGCTTTTTGCTCTGTCAGTGTGGTCCCTGTCTTTGTGGTACCTCTCTCTGTCCTTGTCCCCTTCCCTGTGTTTACTCTTCTCTCGTTCCTTCTCCTTTCCATGGTCCGGCTTCTTGTCTGCATTCTTGCCCTCCCTGCCTGCTCTCCCATCTGCTGCTCGGTCACTGTGTGACATCCGTGCCCTCTCCTTATCTTTGTGTCCTTCCTCTTTGCTTTTCCTGTCTCTGTCTTGGCTTCTGTCTCTGTGTCTGTGCCTTTCAGATTCTTGCTCCCATTCCTTGTCATGGCGCTCCCTTTGTAAGTGATGCGAATCACTGTAAAATCTCTGCCGGTCCCCTTTAACCCTATTAAATGGCCTGTCTAGCTGCTGTTGGTCTTGCCTACCCCAAGGGTCACTATGGCGCCTTTCTGGTCTCCGAATGTCTTTGACCTGATAAAAATTTTGCGGGCCCATATACCTTGAAGACGCTTGTGAAAGGGGCCCTGCCATACGTTGTGGTTGGCCTGGGAGATGAGCAGGTGGCCAAGGAACCATGGGATTTTGAGGAAAGCCACCAAAGCCTGGCGGGGGGAGTAAAGGAGGTGGCAAATGTGGTGGAAATCCAAACACATTTTGGGGAGGGAAGTTTGGAGGTCCAGGAAATGGGAATCCAGGAGGGCTAGACTTGAGATGCTGGAGGCTGGGCTGCTGTGGCCTCATAGGTGAAAAGCTTGCACTTGCTCTGGGGCTGGTACTCCTAGAAGTAAAGTTGATGCTCTTAGAAGGAAATTCTGACTGGCATGTACTTCCAGCTTCAAAGTGAGATGATGCTGTAGCCGACCCTCTTCTAAACGGGTGGACAGTTTCAATATTTTGTGTTAAAATATCCTCCTGTAAAGGGCTGGCTTGTTCCGTCTGTGAAGAATTTAAGTTTTCTACGGAGGATGTGTTTTGCAGAGTCTCGGAACCATCACTCTGCTCTGCACCCGAGTTCTTCTCTATAGAAGGCGGCTTCCCCTCCCCACTGACTGGCTCTGCTAAGGGCTCTTTGCTGTGTGACGGGCCAGGCAGAGCATGCTTCTCTCCATTTCGGCAGCTCTCTGCTTCTTTGCTTTCTGAGGTTGTCTGCTGACTCCGTCCTGCAGCTTGCCTAGGATCCCTTTTCAGATTGATAAATTGTGGAGATCTTGTGTTGGCCACAAGATGTTCACTGCAACCCACACTCCCATCTATGTTCCCCTTTCCTGTACCAGGCCTGCATGGAGAATGAGTGGAAGTCCGATTTTCTGGCGAAGTTCCCTCTTGCTCTTGGAGCAGCTGCCTTTTTAATGTTCTCTCCTTGTTTTCCAGAGTTTCCTCTTGTTTTGATGGGATTGATAAATTTGTCAAGAAAGCTTCTGTAGAAACATCTGGTGGTTTCCCTCTCAGACTAAGACTCGTCAAAGGCCCTGGAGGAACGGATGGGGATCCCACCAATGACGTTTCTTCTCCTCCTGAATTTTTACCTGTAGATTCTGAGACATTATCGACTTTACCTTTTATCTCCTTGGCTTCAACCTCAGTTACCTCCACTTTATCTGTTTGCTCTACTTTTGGGCTGGTCTGATCACTTATAAAAGGAATTTCTTTAAGAGTGCTCTGTTCTCCAACGGGCTGAGCCTGCTCATACACCTGACCAGTAGTGCCCAAAAGACTTTGGAGTATATCATCCACAGGAAGAGGCTTATTTGCTAATTCCAGAGTGGAAGGTTGATTTTCCCAGCCTATTAGGACCCCAGGAAGGAACCGTAAGGGTTTTGGTGGCTCCTGTCTACTGACTTCCATCAGAGGTTCGGCTGTTGTGAGCAGGTCTTCCTGAAGAGACTGCAGGGGCTTGTTTCTCTGCTTGTGCAACACAGTTGTGAAGGAATTGAAAAAGTCACTCTCTTCCTCGGCGGTGTCCTCCATAGAGGACTCCATCTTCCCTTTTTTGTCAGGTGGCAGGGCTACTGGGACAGCGTCTGGAGTGTCAGTGTGACTAGGACCGGCGCTAGCACTATGAGGCCGCTTCAACTTCTGACGAATAATGAGGCCCAACAACAGATTAGGTCTGTGCAGCTCAAGTCCTGGAGAAAGACAGACGGCAACAGGCATTTTCAATCATTTCCTAACAGGGTACATTTCACATAACAGCAGTCCATTCCATCCCAAGCTACTGAATGGTGGCTAGCCTGGTCTGGAGCCTAAGACAGAAAGCAGCCATTCCTTCCACTCTGGACTGACCCCTCCCACTTTATTTCAATCTTACTCTATTACCAAAACATATACCTACCAGGTCCATCAAAAGGCACAAGAGGGTGTGGAATTTTATCTGCAGCACCCAAAGGAATAAGGTACATATCTTTAACCTGCTTCATGTTGTTAGCAGCTACGCCGTAACGCTTTCTACTACTGAAGTATGCAAACAGCAAAGTGTAAGAAATTTGATCTTCTTCAGTTACCGGTGTGAAGCGAACCACACAGATTTCCTATTCAAGAGAGTAACAAACAATAGCTTAAAACAGTAACCTACAATGTAGCTGGATTTTAAACATAGCTTATTAATCTTAGTACTTAGTAATTTTGAGTTTTATGAAAGTTATTCAAATAGCAGTTCCCAACTTAAACAGAAACTAGAATACTAAAAGAAACAACTTCTAAGAAAATACCGTTCCTGGTTCACCTAGGAATCTGTACTATTTGAAAGCTTTCCATAACGAATTGACACATGTCAGGGGTAGTGGCATATACTTACACACCTGTACTCCCAGCCTCTTGGGAGACTGAAAGGCAGAAGGATCACAAATTTATTGCCTGTCTGGGCTACATAGTGAGTTCAAAGTGAGTCTGGGCAATTTAGGAGATGCTGTCTCATAATAAAAAATGGTCTGTGGAAATAGTTCATCAGTAGAAAGAACATTTGCCTATTATGGGTAAGGTAGGGGCGCAGGCAAGGGAGAGAGAAGGAAAGGCCCAAGGCATCTGAATATAATGAAATCGTTCAAGGTCACACAAATTATCAGTGTCAGACAATGCTGAAACCTAGGCCATTTGGTATCTGCACAATTGTGGCGATATATTGTTTATGATCTAATAAAGCTGGCCTGAAGTTCAGAATGCAAAGTTGGTCACAGCCAGAGGCCAGGCAGTGGTGGTGCACACCTTTAATCTCAGCACTAGAGCTCAGGCTCTTGTGGCATTCAGTCTCCAGCCACGCTGAGGACAGATCGCCCCAGTCTTGGTAGAGGTAAGAACTCTCTAGTGATTGGCTGCTTTGCTCTTCTGATCTTCAGCTTGAATTCAGTACCTGTCTCTGCGTTTTTAATTATTCATGCTACACACAACAGGAATAAAGAGGACTTGGTTTTGACAAGACTCCAAAAACAAATATACAACAGATCGTAAGTTCTTAAGGTGGTTGCCTAACTCAAGAATTTTGTTGCCTGTCTCTGGGGTTCTTGGTTTTATCATAATTCTATACTTATCTACATGTAAAAGATACAATCAAAACACAGGTACCCTAAAAATATGGTACGAAATTACCTTTAGTCTATGTTTATGAAGTTTATGTAACACATAAATGCATTTCACATTCATGCTTGAATCTCCATTCCCAAGGTATCATCCTATGCATATGCTAACATCCAAAATTCAGCAAAGTTCAAAATCTGAAGCATTTGTGATCATAAGCTTTTTGGATAAGGGCTATCTAAAGTGTCTCAGTGACATCATGTTACATATGAGCTAACTATTCTTGTGTTTAAATCAGTTCAATCTGAAGGCATACTATAAAGTACTGGGCAATAACACACACACACACACACACACACATATCCATATGTGCACACATTTCCATGTATATATGAAAGTAACAGAAAACAAGGCAATAACTGTTTTTGTTTTGCTTTGTAGATCAGGCTGGCCTCAAGAGATGTGTCTGTCTCTACCTCCCAAGCTTAGTAACCTTTCAACTGCCTCATTTTAATTTAAAAATCTTTATGGGGGGAGGAATCCTTCAGGGTTTAAGACTCTCCATTGTGGGCCACTCTAAACTTCTACAAAGAAATGATTTAAATTATTCCTATTCAGTACCATTCCCTATGGGGGGGGACCTACAGAAATTATAGAGAGAACATGGAAGAAGAGAGACATTAGCATGCTGAAGGCTATTGATTATTCCCAGCTTATAGCCTCCTCTTCCTGTTACTGATGAACCCTAACTTTTGGCTAGCACAAGACCCTGCAGTATAAACCATAAACCACATTTGCCAGTTTCCTTCCAAGTTACCTATAGCTGTCTGGCTATGTTCTTGCCAATTAAATTAAAGAAAATTACGGGATGACTTAACTTCTGGGGTGAGCTCTAAACATGACTGCCTGATGAGGGTGGTCCCTCTTTCAAACAACGAAGTGACAGAAGCAGCCTGTTTCCCAAATGAACCCTGGAGACCAGAGCCCAAAGCCTCCCAAGCATCCTAACTGTGATGGAGGACAGGCTTCTGCAGCATCTGAACCACTGGACTCAAGAGTATAGAGCTCCACTGTGACCAGACCAAAACAAGCTCAATCTCAACACCTACTCTAACCCGTCCCTTCCAGTGCTGACACTGCTATGGAAAACATACCAGAAGGCAGAGAATAAAAGGGAGTGTTGTACTGCTTTTAGCAAATGGCTTCACTTCAGTTCATGTACTCATGTAGTCCACAGTTCAACCAAAGTGTCATTCCAGAGTAGCTGTCCATATTGTTCTAAGAAACGTCTCTGCCTAGGACCTGGGCTTTAATTGGGCCAAGTATTCAAAGTTCCACATCTCTGTCTCTCCAGGGCGGAGATAAACATGTGTGCCTCCACACACTGGATTGTTACGTGTGCTGGGAATCAAACATAGGTCCTCACACTTGCACAGTATTATCAAGTAAGTTGGCTATCACCTCCCAGCACTTTACCTACATTTTGTAAGACAGAGTATATATATTTCAATCTTGTATTAGCTCCCTTCCCCCGAGAGTCACTGGACCCTTGTATTAAGACTTTAAGTAGTCTGATTAACATTTCCAAAGTGGCATTGTTAAAAGTTTACTCACCTTGGTTCCTGATGCTTTTATTTTTTCCACGTAATCCCAAACTGTCTGGGGCGATATCCTGCCACCTACTTGAATACTATCTGGTAGATCCTATGGCCAAAAAAAAAAAAAAAAAAATCAACAAGTATAGAGTTTCTTCATGATAATATTCATGATTCATACATACTTAACTTTGAGAATAATTTTAATAATAACTAAAACAAGTAAGCAGGGTTAAGAAACTGGTGGCAGAATATGTGATTGGCATGTATAAGACTCAGGGTTCAATCAATCTCCAGAACACAAAGAATAAACAAATTGCAACAAAAATAAAACACAGTAGAGAGATAGCAACTGCACTTATCTCAAATGCCAACTTCAAATAAATAATACTGAAAATGTAGTTTACTAAGGAGGGCAATGCAAAATACAAACAAACATAAATACATCCCAATACTAACAAAACTATCTGAGGCTAGGTCAGAATAGAAAAGCACAAGAAAAAGAACCAGTGGCACTCAGAGGCAGGCCCTCTGCTCTTCAATCGTGTGCGGTAGTAGGCAAGGGCAGTCTTTTGTTTTTTGTTTTTTTTTTTTTTTTTTTTTTTGTTTTTTTTTTTTTTCTGAAACAGGGTCTCACAATATAGCTCAGGATGTCCTGGAACTCACTCTGTAGACCAGGCTGGCAGGGAACTCAGAAATCTCTCTGCCTCTGACTTCTGAGTGCTAGAACTAAAAGTGTATGCTACACCCCCAGTGCTTTTTTAAAAAACATTCTTAATTATTAATAGGTCAAGTTCAGATTTTATGTACTGTAATTGCAAAGTATATTTTTGCAAAGAGAAAACTAACAATGCAATACATTTAAAAGTGCATATACATACACTCTATATGTATATTGATAAGTATAATTAATCAGACATTTAAAACTTTATTCAGAGTTTTCCCTTTTCCTCTGAAGACCAAGAAAAATCATAAACGTAGATTTAAGTTTATTTAACTCACTAGTTGCTTTCAATATTTCAAGACTTTAGCCCCAGTAAAGATAAATAACTACAAAGCAGAGATGAGTTCTAGAAAGTAATTACATAGAAAACTATGGCTCTGAGAAAAATAACTTTATTCAAAGTTAGAAGTGTCTGGGAGTCCAGGTCCTCATTTTCCATTACCTTCAAAGTGATGTAAAGAAAAACTAAAAATTCTCAAGACTTCTTCCCCTCAAAAACACCATCACTGGCCCACTTACTTTACTTTTCTCTAACAAAATTCACATTCCTAAAATATTATTAGTCAAGTTCAAGTCAATTGTATAACCACAGCACTGTGTAGTAATTAAAAACAATGGCAATGTAAAGGGCAGAAGGCTTGCCATGCACACAGGGGCCTGGGCTGGGTACCTAGGACCACAAGGACACAAGGAGGGGTGGGAAGAGGGAGACGGACTCATATTACAGAGAATGATCATACAATTCAGGCTTGATGAAATCAGAAATGAATTATTTAAATAACTTTTGTTTTTATGATTGGAAGACTAAGAATAAATGAAAAGGCTAATCTAACAAACCACCAAAAATAATGTATATAATACATGTACACTGGCTTTGTTTCCTTTGATGTAGTTGTTTGAATGCCATACTTGGTCACTAATTATAGTATTATGCTGCTGGTGTTTATTTTCTAGTATTTAACATTTTCTTCCTTAGGATGTACAACCAACAACAGGTACCACTGCAGTGATTGGCCAGTGATCTCCCGAGACTGCCAGTCTAAACACTGACAGAGACAGGAAGGTACTGTGGTCCCGAAACATCAACACTGTAGGAATTCCATTTCTTTAACAATTAGAAACCTTTTTGATAGGCTAACTTTGCCATTAACATGGCAGTCTTTTACATATAAATCTCTACATAAAAACAAACTTGGACAATCATGGCAACACATTGGTTTTTAATTCTGTCTCATTGAAGTACATTTTAGAAAAATCATGATATCTAAGTTTAAAACTCCCAGAGTAGTTTTCTACTAGTCTGCAAATTCATTTGTAAACTAATAATTTCACTAACTGAACTGTTTTATGGATCATTAATAACTGGATTTAAAAAAAATCTTTTAAAATTATTATTACCTGTATGTCCCCCTGCCTACTACCTTCCGAAACACATGAACCCAAGCAAGGAAAGGCAGAAGCGTTCACAGTACCTCTGTCAAGTACTCGGGGGACCCAGATACAGGGTAGGCTTTGGTAACAAACTTTGCAACAGATGGCATATTGATAAAACCTTTCCAGATGAAGTTCAATCGAGCCAGGAAGGTAGACTCAACTTCAACAGTTCCAGGCATCTCTGGACTAGAAAAGGATATTGAAGTTAGCAACAAGGCCAGCCCGATGGCTCAGTGGGTAGCTACTTGCCACCAATCCTCAGGACCTAGGTTCAATCCCTTGAACCCACATGAAGGTAGAAACAGAGAATCAACAAAACAATGCTGTTGTCCTCTAAACTCCCCGTGTTACAGCACACACACACACACACACACACACACACACACATACATCAATGTAGTCATTAAAAGTATTTTATGTCAAGAATATCAAGTAAAAATAAGTATCGATAAAGGTCAATAAAAAGAATAGTGATCAATTTTCAATTTATAAACCTGTAATCACAGCCACACAGTAAAGATTTACAAATTCATTTTTCTGGGCTGGCTTGAAGTAGACTGAGGTCCAAAGACCTCAAGCACACAGCAAGGGCTGTCTGTATCCCCACTTCTTGGGACCAGCATATTTAAAACATTTGTTTCTGGTTTGATTAATAAAGATTTACTTGTGTTTATATGTATGGAGTTTTGCCTGGATATGTTTGTGTACCATGTGCCTGTCCATGGAGGCCAGAAGAAGGTGTCAGACCCTTGGAACCAGAGTTACAGATGGATATGAGCTGCCTTGTGGATGCTGGGAATAGAAAGGGGTTGTCCTCTGGAAGAGCAGCCAGTGCTCTTAAATGCTGAGCCATATCCCCAGCCCATAATCACACTCTCAAATCTCTTAACTCTAAAATCCATCCAAAATGACAGATTAACTTTCAGAGTCCTATTCACTCATCTCAATTGGCCTGGAGCATACATAGCTACTTTCTCAAAAGTCCCTGAAAGAATCTTTTCTGCGTTTGCACATTGGTAAGTACAAGTAAGCAGTGGTTATAGCACTGTGACTGCGAGAAAGCTACCGTGGCGCAGGAGAGAATGTTGATTTGGGAGACTCTTGTTTCTCCTCCTCAAAGAATTCAGAAGCCAGAATGTTTGTGGTTGAAGACAATGCATCTGCTATGCTTTCTGCTTCGTTGTCTGAATGTTTGCGAGCCCCTCCCACAACAACTTTCACGTTTTTTGGAGAAAGATCATCTGCAGGTGGTGCCATTCGACCTAAAGCCAGAAGACACCAAAGTAAGCTTGTTTCCTGCGACTGTAAAAATTTTCATTCACTTTTACTTTCTTAAGTGATTTAGTCTCTCTGGTTCAATTATTGAGTAAACATTTCCTGGAGCAATACACACCTGTAAACGTTTTCTCTCAGCATGCTGTTACACCAATTCCAAGAACCAACAAGGAACTGTCCCATAGAGACCTAAGCTAACTGAAATTTGCCAACACATTGTGCAAGGCTCTTTCTACCCGTACTAACTTAACATCTTCCTTGACCATTTTATAATCATTACTAATATTTACATAGAAAACATCACAAGTAAAATGAGTTGACGGTGTCTGTTCTCACTTACAGTTATGAAAAAAAAAACAGGAAAAGAATGTTAACTAACCAGGCATGGTGACATACGCCTTTAATCCCATCATTGGGGAGATAGAGGCAGGTGGATCTGAGTTTGAGGCCAACTTGGTCTACAACAAAGCCAAGTTCCAGAACAGCTAGGGCTGTCAGGACTGTCACCAAGAAAACCCTGTCTCAAAACAAAACAAACAAACAAACAAAAAAGACTTAAACTAAAACACAAACACTAAGGTAATCGTGTTTCTCTGTAAATGCATAGTGTTCTGTTAAGTCACTACACAGGGACACTGTAAAGTTTAATGACACTGTAAAGTTTAGAAAATGACACTAATTTGGAACTATAACATCCAAACAATTAAAAAACTCAAACATTCTGAAAACAGGCAACTCTAGCAGTCTTTAATAAATGGACTTCCTGTGCTACTGTTAAATTTACATCCCTATGCACATGGAAAAGCATAGCTATACCCGCTTTGCATTTGTAAAATGATCGATCTAATTCCATAAAACAGGAGCAGGTAGGTGCTGCATCATCCAAATTGGGAAAATAAAACCTCCTCCCCAAATTACAAAAGCTCGTACAGAAATACCATTCAACAAATGACCACAACCCCGAGCAAGCAAAACTCCCAACCTATGCATATTTTGCAGTTCAGATCAAAAAGATGCTGCCTGTGTTGACTAGTAGTATCTTTAGATGTGGAGTCAACCTCTTCTTTTTTTTTTTCAGAGCCTTCGGTCTTTTCCAATGACTTATTGGCTGAAGGTTCCTACCAAAAGTGAGAATAAAAGTAAGTTTTAGCCAATAAAATCTGGCATTTAACTTTAAAAATCAACTTGTTTCATAAACATATTTCCCAAAATGAAGCCATTATATTCGTAACGTTTTTACTTTCTTTAAAGAAAAGTAACAACCAGGCTTGGTGGCACATGCCTTTAATCTCACTCACTACCTGGGAGGCAAAGGCAGACAAGTCTCTGTGAGTTCCAGGTCAGCCTGGTCTACAAAGTGAGTTCTCGAACAGCCAAGGCTAATACAGAAAAACTCTCTTTAAAAAAAAAAAAAAGTGAAAATACAATTAGCATTTATTATTCAGAGCAAACACTCAAAACAACTCATCAAAGCTTGTTTTCAAATTATTTTTTTAACTGGTATTTGAAAACAAGGACACTTGAAATAGACTGTCTCCACCTTGATCTACTTATTTCTCATTTTCCTATTAGCTAAAGAAAAGTTGCAATCCTACTCAAATTACACTATTTACAAAGCACCAAGCATTGCTGTATCAAATGTCCTCAGGATTTTAATAAGTCTTTAAAAGGAGCCTATAATGCAATTTTCTGCACACTGAGAGAAACAAGCTATTAACAGTCAATCCAGTAAAACAGTGTACTTGAAAACACACACTTTATGGGGGACGGAGAGATGGCTCAGTGGTTAAGAACACAGGCTGTTCTTCCAGAGATCCTGAGTTCAATTCCCAGCAATCACATGGTGGCTCACAACCATCTGTAATGAGATCCGGTGCCCTCCTTTGGCTTGCAGGGACACATTATGGCAGAACACTATCACATAATTTAAAACTAAGCCCCCTGCTTTAGGAACAGGAAGGAAGCTCTCCCCCCCCACCACTCCAGCACCCTGCTCCTTACCTGTGTCTGAAGCTCCCCCCCCCACTCCAGGCTACAGAGCAGGGCACCCTGCTCCTTACCTGTGTCTGAAGCTCCCCCCCCCCCCGCGTGCTCCAGGCTACAGAGCAGGGCACCCTGCTCCTTACCTGTGTCTGAAGCTCCCCCCCTCCCCCCCCCGCGTGCTCCAGGCTACAGAGCAGGGCACCCTGCTCCTTACCTGTGTCTGAAGCTCCACCCACCCACCCACCCACCCACCCACCCCCCCCCTGCTCCAGGCTACAGGGCAGGGCACCCTGCTCCTTACCTGTGTCTGAAGCCCCCCCCCCCCGCCCGCGCTCCAGGCTACAGAGCAGGGCACCCTGCTCCTTACCTGTGTCTGAAGCTCCCCCCCCCCCCCGCGCTCCAGAGCAGGGCACCCTGCTCCTTACCTGTGTCTCCATGGCTGCCTCCTGCTCTTTCATTGGGGCGTCACTCTCTATCTCGATCTCGCCTTTGTGAGTTATTTTTGTGATTGGTCGTCTTTCCACTTCTCTTTGTTCTTTCTCAATCATCTCTATTGTCTATCAGAAATCATTTCAAGAAAATATTAAGTCCGTGCTTTAATTAATGAAGACTTACTTAACTAATAAATTATTATACATAATTAATTTTTAGCTTTTCTCTCATAAAAACACAAACTCTGTCAAGTGTTGGCAAGTCTTAAGAATTCAACTCTATGCCTCACCTCGAGCGGCTCACATTAACATTCTGCAGGGAGGCAAGAGAAAGGCAATTACAGTATTTATACTTGAAATCTGCTTGCAAATCTGTAAGTGCCAAAATCAACCAAGAACTAACTTAACTCATTTGGTGTTACTGTACATCCCTGCAATACCAGCTTATTAAATGATTAAAGAAAACCCAAAAAACAAAAAAACCTAGTAGGCACTACCACTGTCTCCTGGCCTGCTGACACTAGTAATTAACAGCTACCATAAAGAAATCCAGCAACGACATAGCAAAGTTAGCAAGTATAACAAGACTACAAGATAGTACAGGGGGCGGTGATGTCAAACAGAGCAAGGAGGAGGAAGAACTGTAAAGGTCTGTCCATTTGTCCCTTGTTAGCTCTTGCAAAATAGCCACTAAAAAGTCAGGCAGGGCCAGTGAGATGGCTCAGCAGGCAAAGGCTCTAACCACACAAACCTGCAAATCTGAGTTTGAACCTCAGAACTCATGGAAAGGCAGGTAGATCTAGCTGCTCACAAACTTGTCTTCTGAAGTTCAAATAAAAGTGTCATGGCAATGGCATACTGCCTCTCCCCATTATCATACAGACAATAATAGCAGGTAAATAATGTTTAAAAAGACCAAGCAGAAAGTGTAAGAAAAGAAAACATGGTCTCCAATACAAAATGATACTAGTAGCCAATTTTAAAACTTAAGTTTGTCAAGTGTATATTTAGGGTGTGGAGAGAAAGATGAGTAACATTATTTTCAAAATAAAGAGGCAAAATTACATAAGATCAAAGCAAAACAATAAGTAAAAATAGATATGATACATTACATGAAGGCCTCTGACACAGATCAAGGAGGATTAATGCCTAAGATGCAAGCAAGCCTCATGGGCAAAATAATCTGGTAAGTTATGCGGAGCAATGCAAATCATATACAATCATTACTTCCTAAAACGGGGAACTAATACTGGGCAATATGGCTATATCTGCTAACAAAAGCTCAAAGTCATCCATGCCCTCAACCTTGCTAGGGACGGTGGTACAGATGGCCATATACCTAGCACCCAGATAGGGTCGGGGGAAGGAGACTAAAAATCCAAGGCCAGCCTGGGCTACACAATGAGATCTTTCCTGAAAAGAATAAAAGAACTTTCTAGTTCATCTTTTTATAAAGACTGACTGTAAAGACACTGCAAGTTTAAATTGCAACTGAAAATTCTTGGCACCTATAACTTTGAGAAATTTTTATTTTTAAAACGTGGCAAGGTACTCAAATTACAACATTCCAGTTCAAGCTAAGACATTAACACATAAACATAACACTATTTCTATGCATATTTTCACATGGCTTTTCAATTTATATCATCTCAACAAATTAGTTCTAAAAATTCTTGACTTTCTTCAGAAACTTTGTGGCCATGACACTTGATAGTAAAAGATTCTAAACTTGTACCAAGTTTTAGAATTAAATCATCTGATTCATTAAAATTTTAATGTTCAAGATGCATTCAAATTGATTACAGAGAGCACAGATTTGTTAAACATTTTCCAATTGTTATAAATTATTATAATTTGCAAGTAATAAAACATAAAGAATTCTATAATCTGGTGACCAGCAAAATGAAAAAGAAAAAAAGCTCTGCAGAGATGAAGACAGATAATAGGATGTAAAAATTTAAGAAACAGGGCTGGAGAGGTGGCTCAGCAGTTAAAAGCACTGCCTGCTCTTCTAAGGTCCTGAGTTCAATTCTAGGCAACCACCTGGTGGCTCACAACCATCTATAACGAGATCTGGTGCTCTCTTCTGGCCTGCAGGCATGCATGCAGGCAGAACACTGTATACACAAAAATAAATCTTTAAAAAAAAAAAAAAAAAAAAAAAAAAGGAAGAAATAGGAGGGCTTGTGTTGTGGGTGCCCTCCATCGTGGCACAAGGACAGAGTTCAAAACTGTCCTCAGCAAGTCACAAGACCTAAAGGTCAAAGGTGTGGCTTCAGAAGGATGTTTCGGCTGTCTTAGTCTAAATAACAGACCTGAATCTGAGGTGTGGCTACTCCTGACCTCAAGGCTAGGGAATGAGAAGCTGGAGCTAAGGTGTGGTTACTGAACCCTTAGAATAAGTGAGGAAGAAAAGTCTGTTTGATCCATATACATGATGCTGTGCTCCCCTTTCTGGTTAAGGTATAGTAGACTTCTGGAATTTCAGTATTGACTGATCTGCCCTCCTGACTTTTATTTTGTCTCTGTCTTTTCTTTATCATCTATGTCTATACCTAGCCTTTCCCTCATCCACACACCCCCACTCAGGTATGAACTTGGGGACACTATGCTGGTTCTGACTGCAGCCCCACAAAGATAGCTCCTTACAAGGGCTCAGTAGTGAAGGGCACTTGTCCTATCCAGACCTACATGGAGGCAGGCTCACAACTGTTTGTATCTCTGGGACTCAGAACTGTGCTGACTGATTCTGTATCAACCGGACGCAAGCCACAGTCATCTGAGGGCAGAGGACTCCAAATGAGAAATGCTTCCAGGAGATCATTCTGTAGGCAAACAAGCCTGAAGGGCATTTTCTTAATTAGTGGTCAATGGGAGAGGGCCCGTGCCATTGTAAGAACACAATCTGGGGACAGCACTAGGTTGGGTCCTGGGTTCTGTAAGAAAGCAGGCTGAGTAAGATATGGAGAGCAAGCCAGTAAGCAGCACCTTCCATGGCCTCTGCATCAGCCCCTGCCTCCGGGTTCCTGCCTACGTTTCTGTCAGTGAACTGTGATTCGGGTATGTAAGCCAGACAAACACTTTCCTTCCCAAGCTGCTCTGGTCCTGGTGTTTCATCACAGCAAGAGAAACCCTAACACAGATGTCCTCTTCAGACACTGCGTGCATGTGAAACACTTACATACAGGCAAAACATACATGCATAAAATAAAAATAACTCTTAAAACAAAGAGTTAAGAAACAAAGGAAGCTGGGCACAATGGTGCTCATTAGTTATCTCGAACAACTTAAAATGCAGAAAGAAGCAAGAAGATCACAAGAACTCAGGCAGAAGTGCAGGGTCACCTTGGAAAATGGGAAATATGACAAGATCCCCCCTTAGGACAGAGAGGAGGCAGGAACAGAGAGGAAAGTGGGCAGGGTGATGGTAGAGAATTATGCGAAAAGAATACAAAGCTGTCCTACTTGCACTCTGTATTGAATGATCTTTGCACAGTTCACCCGTGGTTAAAAAACAAAGACTTTGATAGCCAAGCCAAACTCAGAGTACAGAGTACGGATGTCCTTACGTGTCTGTTTTCCCTTCGTCTCCACGCAGCTAACTCTTTAGACGCTAGTTCTTCTGGACTCATTCTTATAAGATGATCAGGGGTTACTTCTCCTTTAAGTACTTTTTTAAACAGTATCTACAGGATTTTAAAATGAGAAGAGACACAAAAACATTTAGAAGCAAAAGACAGCTGTCATATGTGAACTAATAAATCAACTTTCAAGCCTGATTTATAAACATTCATAATTTATATAAAACCCAGCACATGCAGCCTAACATTAAGCTTTGTATTCTGGAAGAGTAAAACACTTCTTACATAAAATTCAACTTAATAACAATATGGTGGCCACACCTGTAATCCCACACTCAGGAGACTGAGGCAGTAGGGTGGAATGTTCAAGGACAGCCTGGGGCTACACTCCCTTAGGCTACACAGCCTACATTCTGTTAAGGTTTCTGCTCCACTCTGCCCTCCCCCAAAGGAACATCCACGTAAAAATCAACATGAAAAAGCAAGTGCAATTAATCCATCACATATCAAGTCTAGCCCAGGACAGAGTATAATAATCACCTCACTGTATGGTAAGGCTCTGAATAAAAACAGCTTTTATCAAAGTAATGCCTGTTTTTAAGATTCTTACATTTGAATCCTGGTAGGTTTGAATGAAAACCATAGCAAAGAACTAATTGTAAAAAGCAATCTTCATTTGATTATTGACAAAGTTTCTAGATTCTGTATTTCAAAAAGCTCTTGGACCATGACACACTGTACAATGTAAATTTTTCTTCAGCAGCTTTTAGTAACTTAAATATACTTTAATCAAACACATTTGCCCATAAGCACCCAGGAACCACCCTAAATACCAAATCTTGGATGTTTAAACTGCCAATAAGAATAGTGGCTGGAATAGGCTGGAAAGATGTCTCAGCACTTAAGAACACTGACTACTACTCTACTAGAGGACCTGGGTTCTATTCCCAGCACCGATATGGCAGCACATAACTGTCTGTAACTCCAGTTCCCAGGGATCTGACAATTTGATGCAGACATACAAGCAGGCAAAACACAAATGCACACGAAATAAAAATGATGTACTATTTGCATATAACCTATATACATGATCCCATAAATAGTTGTGTGTGATGTAACATTTAAGTCTACAATAGTCTATCCAAACTGCTTGTAATAGAGAAGATGGCTTAGATGCCTTAGTCTATGTAGTCTTATGTGAACACAACACAGTGATGACCTTTTTATACTGTATCAGCACTGTTAAGTGTCACATGACTATAGTTTAGACTACCTTTATATTTACTTATAATACCTAATACAACGTTAAGAGCTGTGTACACAGTCATTACACATTTTATACAGGGAATGACAACTAAAAAGTAAGTCTGTACATGTTCGGTACATATGCAATTTTTCCCCTAGTAGTTCTGATCTACTGCTTGTGGAAAACCAGATGCAGAAATGCATGAGAACTGAGGGATGACTATGTTGTAGCAAATATTACAACGTGAACTTACATCACCAGTGTGAAAGCTTTCACACAAGAAGATTTAATTTAATTCTATAACCTAGAGTCATCTTTTGCCAAAAATTCTCAGTGGACTTAAGTAAATCTACCAAACAAAAGTCTTATTAACATTTGGAGTTTTAAAGGTGTTCACTACCTAACTTTTGCTTAGTGTACACATCACAGAACTTTTTGATTATAAACACACACAAATATAAATACACCTACATGTACACAAATGAAACAAACACACAACTTTAAAATCCTTGCCAAGTCTCAAACAAGAAATCCCAAGAGATAATTAAGAAATCAGTAACATTTCCTCCACATTTAAAACATATTTTAAATAAAGTTCTATTTAATTTGGTAAAATTATTTAAAATATTTTCTTGGGTTAAAGACAAATTCTCACTATGCTGCAAGCTGACCAGGAATTCTTGGTTTAAAGTAAACTTTCTGCCTCAGATTCCCTAGGTAGCTATGATGTCATACATGGATTTTTGTTTTAACTTTATAACTAAATGTGACTTAGGGTTTTAGTGAGCACAGTTCCACTTGCTGATTTAGATTAAAATTCTTAGGCTTAGCAGATTTTGAAGAATACTGAAGAACGAATTTTTTTATTTAATTGGGTTATGCAAGAGAGTGAAGGAAAAAAAATGCACTAAATCCAGACATGTGGTTCAACACACTCTCAACAGTACTCACTAATGTACAGGATTCATAAATTAATAGCAAAAGCCCTTATAATGTTGTATTCTTGAGCTGCAAATGCAGCTCAGGTGGCAAAGGTGCTTGCCCTCCGTGGGAGGAGCTCTGGGTTTGAGCCCCAAGAACACGCAGGTGAGCAATGTGGCTCAAGCCTGCAATCCTATCACTCCAGAGTTGGAGACAGAAGGAACAGAAGTTTAAAGTCATCCTCAGCTACATCTACGTTCAAGACCCTGTCTCTTCCCTGACAGTGAAAACTTCCATGTTCTTAGTGAGTATAGTAGTTTGAATGTAATTGGCCCCCATAAGCTCATAGGGAGTGGCACCTTAGAAGGCGAGACTTTGTTGGAGTGGGTGTGGCCTTGTTGCAGGAAGTGTGTTACTATGGGGGTGGGCTTTGAGGTCTCAAATGCTCAAGCCACACCCAGTGTCTCAGTTTCCTTCCTGTTGCCTGTGGATCCTTCCCTAGGACCATGTCTGCCTGCATGCTGCCATGTTCCTCCATGATAATGGACTGAACCTCTGAACTGTAAGCCACCCCCTTAAATGTTTTCCTGTGTAAGAGTTGCTGTGTCATGGTGTCACCAAGACAGTGAAAAGGGCAGGGAAGCTGTAGAGAATAACTTTATAACACCAGGCCAAGTTCAATCCCCAACACCACAAGCAAATAAATCAAATGACACACAATGTTCTGTGAGCTGCCCAGGGGTGTTCAACATTTTCACAATGTGACATGATGTTGTTTACAAATATGTTGGATCACACTGACAGCTATTCAGGGATGTACCAGGCTATGGGCCTCTTACAGGATGTATCTGAGATACTCTCACTCCAATTAGTAAGTTGAAGAGCTATTATTACTGCAGTCTTGGATTCCTATTCTGGAAAGTATAAACATTTATATGACCGGTGAAATGGCTCAGTGCTTACTGCCAAGCTTGATGACCTAAGTTCAATTCTCTGAACTCACACTGGAGAGAAAACTGACTTCTGAAAGCTACACTGAGGCAAAAGAATCAAAGTATACACGAGCCCCCGCACACACGCACACTTACAAAACTGAATAAAATTTAAGAGAACTCAGACAGAACAAGTTACTTACATTGTTTTTAGGGTCCTTCAGATTAAACATCAAGCTTCTATATTTATTCTTATACTTAGAGTCCGTGTCTCGAAAGAAAGAGAAAAGCTCTTTTTCAATTTTTGTGGCGACCTTTGCTGCCTTTTCCTCTGGGACCTTCAAATTTGAGTCTGTAAGTCTTAAAATGAAAACAATTCAATTACTTTCAAATACATGGAGCAAACGCCATTCAACCTGTAGTGCTGACAACATGTTACCTTCTCATCAGAATGTCTTTAAGAGAATGCCGGACGCTCTGTCTGATTTGATCGGCAGAAGGTTTGGAAGCAGCAGGGGGGTGCACATAAGGTCCTCCTTTTTCAACTTTCTTCCTTTTCGTCTCTTGCTTCTCATGAGTGCCTAATTTTAAAAAGTATCTAACCTCATTAAATGGGCTTAAAGACACTTTCTTTTATAAAGAATGATTAAGTTTAAATCAAAGCAGACTAAGTCACTACTCAGAAAGAATTCAGAGCCCACAGTCTGTTATTCAAATGTCCAGGCACTAATGTGTTAATTTAACTGTCCAGTGATCAAAGAGCAGTCAGTCCTAAGGCCATAACTGTATGCAATGCTTTCCTCATTTCAGTAAGGGTTTGAGAAATAGCTCCTCTTCATGTGCTATCTGACTTTTAAAAGGCTACATAGGAAATCTGATCCAAATGTACTAGGTAAGCTAATAATGAGTTACAGAATGCACTGAGCTTCCTCTTTGTATTTGGAGTAGGTTAGCTGAATACTAACCTACTCCACTGGTTTTTATTTCTTCCATTACTAATTCTCACATATTTTCAAAATCTCAGTGTCAAACAACCTACTACTTTGACATCAGCTCATTTATTCTAGAATCTTGTCTCTGTTGGCATTAAAAAAAAAATACATATATATATATATCCCAGGTGGATTGAAAGATGGATCACTAGTTAATGGCATATACTGCTCTTCTAAGCCATAACCCAGCTCACAACACCAATGTCAGGCTACTCACAGCCACCTGTAATTCTAGCTCTGGGGGACCCGACACCTCTGGCCTCCACATGCACTTACAGTTATATGCTTGCGCGTACACACACACACACACACACACACACACACACACCATTAGAAATAATAAAAGCAAATCTTTAAGAATGAAACTGATAGGGTGGGGGCTATGGGAAGATGAGGAATCAGGTTGAGTGGGTTGGGGGTGGGACAGAGGCAGAGTAATAAAAGAGAGGTCTTGATAGGGGGTGGGGATTTTAGGGAGAAACTTGCTGCCAGGGAAACTCCCAGGAATCCACAAGGATGACCCCTGCTAAGACTCCTATCAGGAGTGGAATCTTAGTGGAGAGGTGTCTGAACTGGCCATCTCCTGTAATCAGATTGGTGACTACCCTAATTGTCATTAGAGAGCCTTTATCCAGTAACTAATGGAAGCAGAGGCAGAGATTCACAGCCAAGCACTGGGCTGAGCTCCAGCAGTTCTGCTGAAGAGAGGAAGAAGAGAACTGTACAGGCCAGGGAGTCAAGGTCATGACATAGGAACCCACAGAGACAGCTGACCTGAGCTAGCATGATCTCAGGGACTCTAGACCTGTGTGGGACCGATCTAGGCCCTCTACAATGGAGTGACAGTTATGTAGCTTGGTCTGTTTGTAGGCTCCTAGCAGTGGTATCTAGACTTGTCCTCTGCTCTTGAGCTGGTTTTTGGGAACCTATTCCCCATGCTGGGTTGCCTTAGCCAGCCTTGATGCAAGGGGAGGGGCTTGGTCCTGCCTCAACTTGGTATGCCATACTTTGTTGATATCTATGGGAGGCCTGCCCCTTTCTGAACGGAGAGAAGGGAACAGGAGAGAAAGGAGGGGACGCTTCGTCTAGGATGTAAAATAAATGAAAATTTTTATTAAAAAAGAATAAATTTGCTACATTAAAAACTGTACCTACCAATGGAGTATATTATTATGATACAGATAAATACCACACAATGCATAAATCACCTTAAATTTATCTCATTTATCACTTCTATAAATGGAAAAACTCCTTCTAAATATCTGAAACACACATTATTACTATCTGCAACCACCTTGCTAGGTAATAATAATTCCAGAATCTCTTACTTGTAACTTATCCTTTCATAAAGTTTCCCTACCCAACTCTTTCCAACATCTGGTAACCACCAGCTGAAATAACTTCCCATCTACTCTCAGCCTCTATGATAGAGTAGACTCAACACACACTGGGGAGGCAGAGGCAGGCAGATGGGTCTCTGTGAGTTCGAGGCCAGCCTGGTTCACAGAGTGAGTTCCAGGACAGGCAGAAACACTGTCTTGAAAAACCAACCATCCAACCAAACAAATAAAACCAATATCTCAAACCCAGAAATTTTAAAAATATAGATTAACAGTAAAATTCCTAAGAAACCCGGAAATTAACTTCATAGCTAACAGCCACAACAAAATAAAATACCTAGTAATAAATTTACCTAAGGTTTACAAACTGAAAATACCATTAAAATGTTCATCCTACCTAAAGCAATCTACAGTCAATGTAATTCCTATCAAAACAGCAAAGACATTCTCACCACAATGGCAAAAGATCTTCTACAGCCAAAGCAATCCTGAGCTAAAAAGTTGGAATCATTACAATATTTATTTGCCTAAACAGCACACTACTAGCATTGAAGAAAAAAAATGCACAAAACACAGAACACAGAATAAATTGACATGTTTACAACTGATTTTCAACAAGGCATCAAGAACTTAGAAAACTAAACACACCTTGTCACCTCAAATAAAATTCCTTAACCCCACCTACGTCTCTATACCCACCACTTTGTCCCCCCAGCCCCAATCAGCAGACACACTGAAAGTTACCTGTAATGAATCCTTCTGGTTCCTTCATCACATTCTGCCATGAGCTACTACCATTGCTTCTATCTGACTGCTCCCTGAAAGCTAAGAGGTTTCTTACTGTATCAGCTGCTGCGATACCCAGGTGACACCGACAGTTTATTGTGTCCCTTCTGGCTTTGCAGCACCATGGTACAGTTCTCCCCATCTGTTTCCTTACTCCTCGGCTTATTGTTTATCATCTTCTACTACTACTTAAGTGGCAAGAAGATGGCGTTAAGTTCTTCTAACTTCACTAACCAGCTTCACTGGTATCCCCTAAATTTAGAGCAATGTTTTCTATTATTACAAATATGGTCAATACTGTCATTAAAAGGTTCGTTTTGAAAAATGTTTCAATACACCAACTTCTGTGAAATAAACTAAATATATAGTACATAATTCTCAGTAAGCTCAGTACCTGATTTTGATGGTTTTTCTACTGTGCAAGTAACAGTTGTAGATTCTTTGTGTATTTTTTCACTTTTTTCTTCTGATGATCTCCGAGGTAAAACTGGTTGTCCCAACTTCCGAAGAGGAGCTAGCTGCCATTTTTTAATTTCATTATCTCTACTGTCAGATGAAGGTTTTCCTTCACCAGACTCCTGGAAAATAGAATTCATTTCATTAAAATGAAAACTACTATATAAGATAAACTTCAATATGTAAGTCTAATTAACATTACAAAAATATACAAAAATAAACTATGATTACTAAAATACAGAAGATTCACTCTTTCATTAAAATCTACTTTGTTAAGCACTTATTTTGCACAGACAGAACACATAACATTCCATGAAGGAAGAAAAAAGACAGAGATCAGGTCCTAAGGTCCTCAACCGGCTGTGAAATGAAGAAGGCGGGGAATGTGGAGAACTGAGTATCTGCATTTGTCAATACTTCTAAAGAACACCCCACCCGAGCCACATTAACTTGAGCACAGGGATGAATTAAGTTCACACTACGGCAATAGTCCATTTTAACTCCCAAGGTACCATTAATATACTTGTTACTTAGTTCCCAAATTGAAACCTATGAAGAATTACTGGTGAAAGTAGCCTTCTCAGATGAAAGAAATTAATCATATTACACCAATCTTGAAAAATAGGGAGAATAACCATGTACAGATAAGACAAGTTATCAAATGAGGAAACATGATATTTTCTTTAATGTAGTAATCCTCTAATTTCTCATTTATTTTAGTTTTCTAACTAGACTTAACACTCAGAGTAGGAACGTGGTGGGGATTTTATTTAGTTTTTAAGACTTACTTTTGTTTTCTATGTTTGAATGCTTTGTCATGTATGTTAAGTGCCTATAGAGGCCTGAGAGGTTGTCAGATCCCTCAGCTCTGGAGTTACAGACACTGTGAGCTACCATGTGGACACTAAGAATTACACCTGGCTCCTCTGAAAAAAGAAAAGCAGCCAAAGCTCATCATAACTGCTAAGGCATCTCTCTAGCCCCAACAACATGTTTTACTGTCACAGGCACGGTAGTGTCATTCCTAGCACACAACAAAAGTGCAATAAATGATTCAGCATAGAAATCTGGTGACAGGAAGTGGTATGTGAAGAGTAGACACTGTAAATCACCACCAGATTGATCCAAAGGCTCATGAGTTCTGCACCAGCCAGGTGTAGCAGAGCAATGCCTTTAATGACAGAACTTGGGGGGAGCAGAGGCAATAAGATGGAGAGTTGGAGGCCAGCCTGGTTTACATAGGAGTTCCAGGATGGCCAGAACAACAGAGACCATGTTTCAGAAAGATAAAAATAAAACAAAAGGGGGGCAGGGGGAGAAGAGAGTTCACCATCAAAAGAACCAAGCAATGACGCGCTGAACACTGTGGCATCTATAAATCCTGACCAACTTTTAGATTTCTGGAAGCATTAACAATGCTAACGTTTCATAAAGTCTTTTTAGGTAAGACAGACACAACACAGCTATATGGCAATGTAGTAATTTCCAAACAGACAAGAAACTGCATACAAACTATAACAACAGTTAACGACACAGCTTTCAGAGAACATACTGTAAAATGATAAGATAGCATTCAGCCATATTGTCAATTAACTTTGTTAACCAAGAAAAGCTAACTCTCCAAACATCATCTCAGACAGAAATGTTCAATGTCACAAAGATTTGAGTAAATGAAACTCAACCATGATTAAGCACAAAAGGAGTGTGTGAGAAGGCTGAGTCAATCACAAAATGCTCAGGTTCTAGGGAGTTAGTTACCTTCCCTGCAGAGGAAGCCTGGCTGTGCCTGGGATCTATAGAGGTTCAACCCCAGCACGATTGACAGCCTGCTATCAGAGCTACCAGATGCTCCCTCACCATCCTAATAAAACAGAAGCTACAGCTTCTCCTCCAGCAACATGTGGGTTCACTAACAAATCCCAATGGCTGAACCAAAGGCTTCCAGAGTTTCTTTCTAAAGTCAGTGTTTTCTTTGCTTTTAAGATGGCATATTTACTTATTCTTCTATACTTATTGCCACTGCAGTTTGTTTTGTTTTCCTCTGTAGGACTCTACTACAAATCAAGAATGAGAAAAGTCACTGGCAATGGAAGAAAACTTCCATTTCTATTTTTCTTTTTTTAAAGATCAAATATTTTAAAATTGGCTTAGAAAATACTTTTAGAAAATGGTTTAAAATGTCAGATCAGGGAAAATGAACTTTTAAACAGCAGAAATGGGAGGAGTAACTTCCATACAAACGAGAGCAAAGGTTACAATTTTTTTTTTCTTTTCTTGGTTTTTTGAGCTAGGGTTTCTCTGTAGCTTTGGAGCCTGTCCTGAAACTTCCTCTGCATACCAGGCTGGCCTCCAACTCAGAGATTCGCCTGCCTCAGCCTCCCTAGTGGTGGGAATTAGTAGATACTTAGATTGAAAACTGTTTTTAAAACTCAGTAAACAAAATTTGTTAGGTCACACAGCCCCATAAACACTGTAAACCAAAAAAAAAAAAAACAAAAAACAAAAAAACAAAAAAAATCAAATATAAAACTACAGCTTACATAGCATAAAAAAGCTGCAAATGAAAAGTCCCTATTTTCAGCAAAATTGCCACCAGAAAAGTAAAAATTCACCTCAGGAGAAAATAAGAATGTGCACTGTAATAAATATGAAAGAGAAATGTTTGAATCACACTTACGTCCATGTAAAGCTCTTGAAACAACAAATGTACTACTGCTTTGGAAATCTTACCCGTTTTAAAATCTTGACCTTGTGCTTTGCAGTATCATCCACGTATTTGTTTTTATCGTTGGCTACCATGTGCTTCGATGACCCAAGCTTTTCACACTCCATTGTTTTCTCTTCGCTGTGGGCTTCAACTGTAGTTGGATCTTCCAAAATATCTGTGTCTGATATGTCAGTCTTTTTGTCTTCTTCAGCACAGCATCTTACACAGACGTATTCTTTGTCTTCCTCTCCCATTTGCTGTGCTTGGGAAAGGCTTAACCCAACACAGTCACCATGAAACCAGTCATCACATCTCCCACAGCCAACCATAAACCTGGAAAGGGAGGGTAGGGGCGGGAAAAGTGATTTCTTTAAAAACGGCATTCTTATGTGAAAACAGTATTTAATGTTCAGATACTGCCTGTATTTTCCATTTATGCAATAGTTAAACATGGAGCAAGTTCCCAAGGAATATTCCATGAAAATGTAACTTTTAAATCAAAAGACTCTTCTCTAGAACTGATAGAAGACACTAGGAATGAGGACACAAGGCAGTTTCAGGTGAAAACTGGTCTCCCATGGTAAAACCAAACCAAACCAAAAACATAAATCAAAGCACAGGACAAAAACAATGAGAAGGGTAATATGCCAGTTCTTAAATACAATCCATCCTAGAGCTGAGGTCATACAGAAAAATGGGGTATTGAATTAAATGTTTAAAAAGGAAAAAATATAGTTTTTTTTTTTTTTTTTTTTTTTTAAAAAAAAAAAAGGACCTTTCACTCTTACTAGCATGTAACCTGAATTACTCATCTGGTCCAAGGTGTCATACTGGGTTCAACAGAAGAATTTGTTTACTTTGGGTGTGGGCTGTCTTAGTTAATGTCCCTGTATTTTATCAGCTCACTTCCTTAAAAAACAATATTCTATCTTAACATGAATGCATTCACATTTAGGTTTTATTTCTAATATCCCTTTGAAAGTTTTTCCTTTACTGCATTCTACCTATAATTATCACTTCATGAATCAGTAGTCAAGTCCAGTATAAAGTTTAAGTTAAAACCAAAGAGGAAAAAGGAAAACTGTCATTCACCTAAAGACTATTTGCAACTACCTAGGAATACAGTGGCGGCAGACCTGATCACATGACCGCTCGGCTTACTTGGGTAACCCTTTCAGTTTGGCAGTTCATGGGAGCTTAGCCAGACCCTTTCATCACGTAAGCACCTTGCAGCATTGTTAACAGTGGCACCACCAAACAAGTTCTACTCCTTTTAAAACGTGTGGTCTAACACATGGAATGTTGAAAATATTAGCCTAGGTGACATGGCCCAACTCTAAATACTCAACTTGCTATTTTCATGTCTGAAGTATCAAAATTAGTAAATTTAGGAGGTGTTTTTAAAGAGGTGCCAAATCCACCATTCCTCTACAGCAGCTCTCCATTCTCTTTATCCCGTGTACATTTCTGTCTGTTCAGCTACTACTGTGAACTCTTAAAGAAACTAATATAATTGGCCGTTTATCCTCAGTGCTGCTCGGGGCTGTCAGTCTTCACCTTTCCTATGATGCTCTTGGTTTGAAAAAGGATGAGTAGGGTTTTTTTTTGTTTTGTTTTTTTGTTTTTCTTTTATTCACAAGTCTTGAGAGCATTTAAACAATGTAAAGTTTCTCTGAGATTATTAGTGGTTTTTCGTTACAAATGACATGTTCCACAGGGTAGGGATTTTGAAGAATTCATGTTTAATACCTTAATGGTCTTTCCTTGCTGCATACAAGGTATACACATTGCTATTCCCTGAAACCAACTGGCTAGTATAAACAGCTCTGAGATTCTGAAGGAAAACTGGTCTCGTCTATAACTACAGCTGCACTGACTTCAAAGCCAGTCTGCAATGTCAGATTATAGAACAATGTAAAGTGTTTTCTACCTCTCGCTTGATGGAACTAGGCCACCTCACTGATCTATGACTATAAAATGTATCAAGTAATTTCATCATACCTGATTTCAAGTTTGCTTTGGAGATGCCTACACTCAAACACTGACATACTTTGAGAAACAAATCTCTTGTAGTTTAGGTTTGGTTTTAAAACCAATGTATTTAGATTATTAAAAGAAAAAAAAAAACTTTCTACAAAACAAAACTCCCCAGTGTCTGGGATGGGGGAATCTTCTTTAATATGGTCATTAACTCATAACTGTTACCACCAAGTCTGAATTTCTAAGTACCATGAACTTAACAAAAAGGAAGGGGAGAAGGATGCATGAGGAAGGAAGGAGAAAGGAAGGAAGGGGTAGGGAAGGAAGGAGGGAGGAAGAAGGAAGGGGTAGGGAAGGGAGGAAGGCAGGCAGGAAGGAAGGAAGGATAGAGGAAGGAAGGGGTAGGGAGGAAGGAAGGAAGGCAGGAAGGAAGGAAGGAAGGATAGAGGAAGGAAGGGGTAGGGAAGGAAGGCAGGCAGGAAGGAAGGAAGGAAGGATAGAGGAAGGAAGGGGTAGGGAAGGGAGGAAGGAAGGATAGAGGAAGGAAGGGGTAGGGAAGGAAGGATAGAGGAAGGAAGGGGTAGGGAAGGAAGGAAGGCAGGCAGGCAGGAAGGAAGGAAGGATAGAGGAAGGAAGGGGTAGGGAAGGACCGACGAAGGACCCTGCCTTCTTCCCAGTCATCACACTGCCTTACAGACACAAGGACAAGGAGGACGCGGTAAGGGAGCAGAGCACAGAATGCATGGCAGTAAACAGCCAACAACTATTCCATTTCTTTCCCTATCCTTGAATTTCTAATTAACGAGGTATTTCTTTATGAAAAATATTAAAGTCTTTGTGTAAAAATAAATGCAGTGTAGAGCTTCTCAATCAGTTAACTCAAACTAGTCAGTATGAATTACATAAGTGGAAAGAGGCAGCCATACTCATGCTTTTCCTTACCAGGTCCATATATAAACTGACAGCAGAAACAAAAATTAGTCTAATGAAAAAGAATAGAAAGCAACTTGTATTTTCTAATCTTAATTCTTTTTTGTATGAGTCAGAAAAAAATTCTTAGAAAACTTGTAGCTGTTAAACTATATAGAGTTCATTCCAAGGACACCTGCTTGGCCACAAAAAAAAAAAAAAGGAAAAAAATTGGGGGTCACCAATTAACACTGAAGGTATTACAAGTTTATTATTTCTACTAGATATACAGTTCTATTAGGTAGTTTAAGTGACAGCACAGAATGTATTTCACTATATATGAACTCACTCTCCTAAAGATTTTATTTCACATAAACATTAAATCTTAGTCAACTAATCTGCAAAGAAAACTAGTCTATAAAACTTAAAATGAGAAAAGCAGAATTATTTATTCTAAATATAACACTATGAATGGATGATGCTAAAGAGACTTTTTGCTCACTTTTGAAATGCTGTCCAATCTACAATTAGGGTCAAGAAAATGCATTACAAATTAAAGATACTAACATCTTCCTGACAAAGTAGAAAAAAGAAACCCAAGGTAGATAGTATGAAAAGACTAAGAAAATTCTGGTGAAAAGGTTTCAAAATCACATTTAAAATAAACAAAGGTCTCAATTTAAAAGTATGTTGACTAATTCTGATACATGTCTGTATTGGGAAAATAAATTTAAGAAAAACTATACTACACTAAAAGACCTACTGTCTCTATGATTTAAGAATCTTAACATGTTATATCATGAGGAACTATAATATAAATCATAATACCCACTGGAGATATATAGGAAAAGCTAACTCCAGTTGCAATTTGCGTAAAATACTGATTACTTTCACAAATGCTATTAACAAAGAGCTGTCAATGTGACTAATACATAAGTTCAGATAATCTCTACCTAATAAATCTGTACTTTACATATACATTAAAAGTGGAAAGTTACAAACTGTCTGGAGAGCATGCTCTTAGGTATTCAGTAGATGCAAGAACAATGTAACAATACAGTAGTCAAGTTAATATGTAAAAAAAAAAAAAAAAAACAACCAATCACGTAGGCTTCTTTATTCACAGACTGAAAAAAAATTACTGAAGGTACGTGAAGAGCTAATTTAGAAACTATTTCCAAAGTACATAATCAAGACCAATTACACAGGGTCAACACCCCAGTCCCCACAACCAACATTCTAAGCTGTAGTACAGACTGAAGCAAATAAAAGTCCGTATTTTATATAGCAGACTCAAAAAGTATGCTTTAAAAAAGTGTTAAGAAGAATACGTAATCTTCACTTTACAAAAATAACTGCAGATATTATGAAGTGACTGGCCTCACTAAAGATCTTGGGTAAACCCCTAAAGGCTAGACCATTAGAACAAATTTTATCTATTAAAAAGCTAATTGTAACATACTGAACATGAGTTCTAACTCTTATGCCAGGTCCCTAGTCCATGACTCTTAAACACATCAGTGGCACAAATTTTTGGAAGATACTGAGACAAAGGGCTGGCTTTTATTAAAAGAACAATTAAAAGCGCAATTTAGTCCTTAAGTCTGAGATCTGAAGAGATCTGAAGAGTGAGCTATTTGTAGAACATGTGAACATATCATAAAAGCCATTAGAAGTATGTAACTGGGATAAAGGCAGGATTATATTAAAACACTACAAAGTTTAAAAAAGAGGAATATACTTTTTTAATAAAGCCAATTCCTGACATTAAAACAGGATATAAACAGTAAATATTTCCATACTATAAAGCCCAAGGCAAGAGGACCACACGAAGGGTTACACACTGAGCTTCAAAATAGGCTCTGCTATGGCCTCTGCATCAAACAAACAAACAAACAAACAAAACCAACCCTACCACATAAAACTTAGTTTAGCAGCCCCCAAACTTCCCCTTACTCTCCCAATTAAAATGATGTACACAGCACCATTTACTGACTGCCAGTCTCTAAATTTAGTCCCTTTTGTATGTGATCTGATAGAGATGGGGAAGGTAACTGTCATTTAATTTGTCTGTGTTTTTTTCTTTTTAATGCATAATCACTGACAGAAATCCCAACAGCAGTGTGATCAGCACCATTTGCAGCAGCAAATTCATCTCTTCTTTGTTCTTTCTCAAAAAAGAAAGCAAATGAAAATAGACTCAGGATAGGGGCAGAGTCATAAGCTACTAAAAATGGAGACCAAAGGAACACTATAATAAAAGCAGTGGTAAAGTCAACTATAAAATTCTCAAAGATTAGAACTCACAAATTCTTTAAACTACTAAAACATTCCAAAAAGGTATTTTCAGTCTATCCCTTAATACATACAAAATCCATCTAGGTAATCTAACAGTTGCTTTTTTGCTATTGTATTTAGCTCCAAGATCAAATCTGTTGGTTTTGAAGTGGCAGTGGTTGGGTTTAAATTGCATCATTTAAAAACAAAAACAAACAAACCAAAAAAAAAAAAAAAAAAAAACCAGCAGGTTCAAAAGAAAACTGGCAATTCCGTTATGACCTTCACACTTTATTACTAGTTCTGCAGTCAAATAAAGTGACATATAGCCTCCAGTCCTGAGGCAGCATAACAATTCTGATTATCGTAAGAGTTTTGGTTTTTATCAGATGCAATGACTACATTAAATTATAACTGGTTACAATGACAAAGCATGTCCATGTCTATCAGCTATTGGTCAGACTAAGCTTTTTAAAATACCCTAGGATGATCTAGTTGTAAATTCAGTGGCTCCAGGTTTCTCTCATTTATCCAGGATTAGTATGGGGCTTTTGGAAGTCTTCGTATATCACATAACTTCTTTTCATATTAGAAAGTTTTCACAATGATCTCAATCCTCATCCTACAAGTTTTTCAATGAACACACCCATAAACCCAGACACACGCACACACACCTGTTGCCATGTGGTTTTTTACAAAACCCACATTGCTTGCTGGGAGTCCACATATGTTTGCTTTCAACTGAGGCGGTCTGATCTGACCCTTCTCTTTTCACAGTCGCTATGTTGTCTGGGATGAACAACGGAGGCTCATCCAGAGAAAAGCCTCTGCTGGTTCTCCGTTGGCGAGGCTGGAGGTTCTTCTCGGGTTTTTTTAGTTTCAGTCTGTCCTCCTCCTTAAGATGCTCACTGCCTGGATGCTCATGCTCATCCCTCCCATGGCTGGTGACCTTCGCCACTGATGCCTGCTGCTGAGGCTTATGGCTCGGTTTCTGGCTGGAGTGCAGTGAGTGTCCAGTCTGTGCAGCAGAATGAGAATCCTTAGGGCAGCCAGAGTGACCATGAAGCTTATCACTAAGAGAATGGGTCGAAAGTTTGGAAACTTGCATCACATTTTGATCCTGTGAGGTTTTCTTCAATACAGAATGAGCTTGGCTCTTCATAGACTTGACCCCAGAATTACAACTCAGATTCTTCAGATCCTTATCAAGCTGTCCTTTTCTCACTTTGACTGGCCTCTGAAAATCGTGCTGGGGTTCTAGTTCATCGGGATTTCGCTTCACAGTCTTGACATTAGATTTGGTTTTGCTGTGAACTACTTCATGCTTCACAGCAACAGGTTTTCTTGGAGTCTCTGTGGTCATGCTTTGTTTAGCATGAGTTACAGATTTTATGTGTTTAGATTTTATGTTTTTGGGCTCTAAGCTGCTTCTGTCATCCTGAAGATCAGCTGTTTCATGAGAATCCATTTTAATACTTTGAGTAATATTCAACTGCTTTGAATTTTGGTCAGGAACATCACAAATAGTATTTTCTAAAGTAGTAATTTCTGGTTCAAAAGCACAAGTATCAACCTCCTCCAAATCTGATTTAGGAAACTCCGTGCCCTGTAACTGAACATCGTTAGACTCCATGTCCTCACAATACCCCGATGTTCCCATTTGATTTCTTTGAAGAGAGTTCTCAGCTTTGTCCACAATATCTACAGTACTCTTCGATCCCAGATGACACCCAGAGGCTTCACTCTTTGTCTTATTTTTATCTGTACAAGCAGAGTCACTAAACGCATCAGAAGATCCAAGTTCCTCAGTCACCTGCTCACCTTCACAGGGTAAGTGCACCTCCTCTGCTTCCTGTTCAAGTTTTCCCACTGCATTCCTTTCTTCCATAGTGTCGTCCACTCCCCCTGAAACAAGACCATTCTGCTCATCGTCGTTATCTGAAAACTTAAACAATGGGCTACTATCACTCTTAGCTCCACATTCCTTCAGAGCTTCACCTTTCTGTTCTCCCACACTAGCACAAGTCTCTGAGAGAAGAGGACAATTTAACTCATGAGACGGCACATTTACTTCACCCTGGCTATTACATGCATGCTTGGAATCTAATTCAGTTTCATCCTTCATTTCCACACAGGGTGACGCTGAAGAGTCGACACAAGATGCTGAGACCTCTGGCACCACGTCGATTGGCTCAGCATGTCGGCCACCCCTTCTGCTCTCTTTAGCGTATTCGGATTTCAGTGCTGTATAAAGTTCTTCTTTACTCTGGCATCTTTCAGATGGTTTCACCCCTACTTTAGGGGTAGATACAGTCTTCCCCGGTGGCTTTTTTGTGCTTAGAGGTGCTGCATTTGAACGCTTGGCAATAGTGCTTTGTCGCAAACTTCTTACTTGTTCTATCATAGGGGAAAAAATAAAATAAAAAAAAAATAAAAACTTAGCTATTTGCTGTGTGCTTTTATTTCAGTAAAGTTTAGAATATATCGCTTCCTTATTCTGAACTATGAAACTTACCTGATCATATCAGTAAAAATTTACTGAAGAGCTACTCATGATGATCATATATATAAAAAAATATATATATGTAATCTAATATTAATTTTCATTTACTAGAGTCTCTTGAATTCTAGCAAAAGGAATAGAAATACAAATTTCAGGCTTATCTAATTTACAAGGAATGTTTTCTACAAAGTATCCTTCCTATACGAAGTAAAACTATGGAAATCAAAGCATCCATTACCACCAAATAACTGTCTAAAAGAAAGATTTTCACACATTCCTAGACACCAAATATTCTAATTATTAAAACCACGTTAAGTCCAATTTGCCTTGTAAGTCCAAATGACAATGACGTCTTAGATGCAAATGAAACCATGTGCCCTAAACAATTATCTGTTGTTTCAAGATATAACTCCACTTTCATACATTTTCCTTTTACATGGAAGCTATTGGTTTTTAAAGTCAGACAGGTCTCGTGTAGCCTAGGCTAGCCTCAAACCCCTGAAGCTGACTCTCTTGCCTCCGCTTTTTCACAGCCCCGTTTCTGCATGCTTGGTGAGTAGGCATTCTAAAACAACCATCTTACACACCTCTCCAGTCCCTACACTACTCCTATAGAAAAAAAATAAAGTTTGCACCAAGAGTAGCACATATACACTGCCAATGATCAGTAACTTAGGCTGAGAAAAATGCATAAGGAAAATATGAAAATAAGAAAGCGCTTCCTTCTTTTAACAGTGCTCCTAGCACAGTCTATTACGTAGAGCTTTTTTCCCTCTTTTCCCCAAGCCTGATAAATCTTCCAGACAAAGGAAAAACAGTAAAAAGAACTGAAATTAAAGAAAACTTTAAAAAAAAACTCACTAAAAAGAAAAGCAACTCAAAATACAAGAATGAAGCGATACCTATCTTGCTCCTCTAAATCAACTTAACATGATACAATTTCTTTTAAAATTTACCCATTCAAAATAAAATCCTACTATGATACTGCTTTTGAATCTTTCCCCCAACTTAACGCTTTTCATCAGGGAGTGAGACTATTAAAGAATGTCCTTCTTACACCTGGGACAATCCCAGGTGGTATTTCATGTACTGGTATAACATAACAGCACTCTCCATTCCGTTTCCCACAGGAAAATAAACTACAAAGTTATCCCAGCTTTGGGACCTTTTCTATTCCCCCCAGGCCTCACAATCTCTGGACATTTGGGACACACTCTAAGACTTAAAAAATCACAGCCTGCAGAGACGGCTCAGTCAATAAAGTGCGTGTCATGTGTGCACGAGGACCTGAGTCTAGATTCCCAACACCCATATAAAAGACAGGCATGGGAGCATGCACCTGTGACCTCAGTGCTGGAGGTAGGACACGGGGCTGACACAGGACCCTGGAACTCACTGACCAACCAATCTAGGTCAACAAAGGAGCTCCGGGTTCACAGAGAGATACTGACTCAAAACAATGAGGAAGATGATGGAGAAAGACATTGACCTCTGGTCTTCATATATACACACCTGGTGTGCACATGCACATACAACACAGAAAAACAAAATAGTAAGACATTAATGCTCAGTTGTTTTTAAAATAATTCCCTAAGTTTTATTTTTGTATCTACATGACATTTAAGTCCTGAACTCTATACATACGTGAAACAAAACCACTTAAAATTAATAATAAAAAGTTTAGCTTTGAATTGGCTGCTAAAAAGCGTGGCAGCCAGTTGACCTGGAAGGTATTCTGATGAAATAGTATTTTCTAATAGTAAAGCTACTAATAGAAATTGCTCTTTTTTGCCTTTCTATAGGCAAAAAGTAATTTTTCTACATTAAGTAAAGTACACATGTGTCAAGTAACAAATTTTTAAAGCTTATTAAGTGTGTGTGTGTGAGAGAGAGAGAGAGGAAAGACGGGGGGGGGGCAATTATGATAATATAACCTTATTCCCTTAGCTTCAATAAAGGATCTTTTGAATACACAGGAAATGAAGAACAAGAGAGGCAACAAAGACAAATTTCAAAATTCAAACAAGGGACACTTAAGAAACAGTATCCTTAACTTGGCTCATTGGAACTCCGAGTATGAACCAACAACCAGGACACTACATGGGACTGACCTAGGCCTTCACATATATGTGACAGTTTATGTAGCTTGGTCTACTTGTGAACTCCTAACAATGGGACCAGGTGCTGCCCCTAACACTTTGCCTGGCTCTTGGGAACCTATTGCTCATACTGGTATGTCTTGCCCAGCCTTAGTACAAGGGGATGTGCTTAGTCTTAGCACAACTTGACAGGCCATGCTTCGTTGATACCCATAGGAGGCCTGTCCCCTTCTAGACAGAAAAGGAATGGATTTGGGGATGGGGGGAGAAGGGGAGTAGAGGGGAAGTTGGAGAAACAGAATGGAAGGAGAGAAGGCAAATTGAGGCTGGCCATATATATATATATGTAGTAATATCCTTGAGACAAACAATAAGCTGGCAAGTTCAGCAAATCCACAATTGACACCCTGCCTAAATCTGGCAGCTTATCCTCCAGACCAATAAGACTAGGATTTTCACAGTAGAGAGTAGAAATAGCAGACACTGATGATAGTTGTGAGACAAAAAGAATTTATGTATATTTGGTTGAGATATTCCAATCATCTTCCTTCATAGGGTACCAAACTATGCTAATGAGACCACAGAAATAACCTGAATTTTGAAGAGCGTGTTCTCACAAAACAAGTAACACTCCATTCATAAACTCTGCCCATACACTTAGAAGTTTTCTGAAGCAGGAGCAAGAGTCAAGAGTCAAACATTCTCTGCTCCTCTGTACAGGCATCCCAAGCCCTCGTGGATCTCCTTTGAAATAGAAACTTTTGGCTTACTGATTCCTCCTCACAGCCTTCTTATCACTGTAATAGCAGGCACCTGCTCTACTGCTGACACTGAGTATGACAACAAAATGACTTCTGTCCTTTCAGGCTGGAGATCCCTGCCTGAATCCTTCCCTCACTAGCCCAAGAAAACTCCATCTTCTAATGCTGTGAATCTTTCTGGCAGCAGCCAGTGACAAGCCATGTGATGTATAAAATCTCTATACATTGCAAGTTTGTTCAGCTCCTTGATTACTTGTAATTCCTAAATAAAACAGATTTACAAAATAAGGAAGCTTTCTAAATGAAAAAGACTAAAGCTTCTTTTCTCTTTTAAAATCAAAAAGGAGCAAACAAACTACTAAAAAGGAGATGAAACATTTTGAGTATCTTACTAAATACAAAAGATATCAGCAACTTAAAGACAAAAGCTAGAATATATACATTAAAAAAAGAATGCATTATTTCCATAAGCATCATCCCCCAAACAAAATGAAGAAGTATTTGAGCATTAGGACAGAAAAATCATAGTAAAATAAAACAATTTCAAAAGATTAAGTAAAAAAAGATATTATAGGAAAGTGTGAAGAAAATAAAGGTGATGAAAGGCTAGCATCTTTACCAGACATGAATTCCAGAAAGCAAGACTTGAAAAACTAATGAAAATTAGTAACAGTAATGTAAGAAAACTTCCAAGATTGAGCAAAAGTTTTCAGACTCTGAATCTAATGAATACATAAAATATACCGAACACCAAGCTTTCATGGCATGAATCTTTTCTTAATAGTGGAAGAGATTCTACAAGCTTACCAAATACAGCAATTCAACACCTGCCCTATGCCAAAACACACAATTACAAAACAAAAACCAGAGAAAACATCTTAATAATTCAGAGAATGAAGTCATTCTTACAAATCAGTTCCTATAGTTATTTGTCCTTGCTAAAGTAAATTATTCCACACCTATGCCATGCAAGCCACCCTAATTAAATGCTTTGGACACACAGAGACTAGGCAAGAGAACAGAAGTACTTCTAGCAGGAATGGAAGGGGATAAGAGAGTAGTGGGGGGGGTATGACTAATACTATATTATGTGTATATGTTTTTATGGAAATGTTTAAATATACATATATAGTTTAAATAAAAGTTTCTCTCCCACAGCCAAAAACAATCTAATAAATCCCCCACAACACAAGGCCTGAGAAGCCTTTTTTTTGAGTTGTTAGTCAGGGTTGTCCAGGAGGCTAGTGAGGGAAGGATTCAGGCAGGGATCTCCAGCCTGAAAGGACAGAAGTCATTTTGTTGTCATACTCAGTGTCAGCAGTAGAGCAGGTGCCTGCTATTACAGTGATAAGAAGGCTGTGAGGAGGAATCAGTAAGCCAAAAGTTTCTATTTCAAAGGAGATCCACGAGGGCTTGGGATGCCTGTACAGAGGAGCAGAGAATGTTTGACTCTTGACTCTTGCTCCTGCTTCAGAAAACTTCTAAGTGTATGGGCAGAGTTTATGAATGGAGTGTTACTTGTTTTGTGAGAGCACTCTCTTCAAAAGTATTGTCACCTATTGCTACTACCTTAGGCTGCCTATCACCTATTGCTACTATCTTAGGTTGCCAGCCAGAGGTGCCTATTGATGAAGACACCATGCACATCAGACACTGGGCCCTGAGGCCCCTGAACTAGAACCGGCCTGAAAGCCTCCTCCCTGCAGACCAGCTTCCATGGTACAAGAAGGACCCATGCAAGCTTCCAAAGCAGGGAAGCAGCAACTGACAGTCCTACCCAGCTGTGAGAGCTATGAACCCCATCAGCGAACAGCATAGCACAGCAACCTAAGGATGCAGTACTGGCACACATAACTTAGCAGCAACAAACAGTTCTCTAATGGGACTTAAGACCCTGTTAACAACAGAGTGACTATACCTGGTACTAAAATACTAACCAACTACCCAGGGCTAGTGAGTGAAGTTATGGGTCTTGCACTAGAACCTACAACCACTTAACATCCCTAACTACATTCTAAGCATGTGTCCTCATAGACACAGGTAAGTATGGCACTCACTCAAGTAAACTTCTCTCTGTAACAGATGGAGACAACTACAGAGCAAAGTTGTGGAGCCCAGTGCCAATGGGTACAAACACAGAAGAACTGCAGCACGCAAGGCCCAGGAGTCAACGCAGAGGAGAGGAGGAAAGACTGTCAGAGCAAAGGGTCTGGGAGTTTGCTCCAGGACTGCAATCCTAGTAATATCACGAGCTACACCCACAAAATCTCATAAACATGACTGCCGAAAAATGAGCTGAACAAGGACAGCAACAACAGACATGCTAATATGGACAGAGGAAAGCACAGGCGGCCTCAACCCTACACAAAGAACGATAGACAACTGAGAAATGCAGAGAATGAAAGAGAAACAGTCTTCCGCAGAAAGAGCTCACCATTTGGTTATCCAATGCCAGAGTCAGCCCTGAAGACACAAGTAATAAATATGCAGACTGAGCAGGCGGCATTTGTGTATTTAGGAACACACACAAACACCACCAACAATTAATGAAAAAGATGCCATGGATTTGAAAAGAGATCAAAGAAAGAGATATAAGAGTCTGGATATAAGAGTTTGGACATGGAGAAATGACGTAATCATGTTATAACAAACAAACAAACAGTAATTTTAAAATGCTTACAACCCAAACACATTTTGAAAAACAATCTTTCAAGCCAGACATGACTAGAACACTCCTGTGTAATCTGAGTACTAGGAAAGAGGAGTTAATAAGATCAGGAGTTCAAAGCCAGACTTAGCTTCACGGGGTGTCTGAAATCAGGCTGGGCTGAAACAGACCATACTGATCCTCTGCTGTGGTGGGTAGATAGGAGAGTGGTTGGACAGAGACAATCTGCTTAGCATGTGCACAACCTAACATCCATGTTTTATGCATCTGATTTTCTAGCTTAAACCTCTTGGGAAGGGTTACCTTGTGCCATTAAACGAGGTGACTTTCTTGGTGATCTCACTGAATTGTCTTCTACTCTGTCCCTCAAACTCCTGTTAGGTAAAATCAATTCTTCTTCATCAATGGTATCATTACCACTTTCTTTAACAACTCCTTCATCCATAATATCGTCAAGACCAACAACTAGAAAGAAACAAAAACAAAAATTATTTTAAAAAATATTGGGTGTGTTATAAATGTAAAAGTAGTAAGTACATGGGGGAGAAAAATCAGTGTTTTAATGTGATACTGCATAGTCATAGAAAATTAAGTCTATTGGTAACCTATGTAATATTGTTACTAGTAAGCACCCACATCAATTCCATTTGACAAATGTCTACCCTGTGAGGTAATTATTTAGAATTAGTAATAACCTTGTCTGATTTGACCTCAACTACTGCTCTATTATCATCCGATTGCCCCTGAAAACTGTCACAGGCAATATATACCTGGAATACTCAATTCTCAATTCTATTGAAGTAGTACAAAAGTGTTCTGTGTCTTGAAACATTACGTTGCATAAGTGGGGGATGATTCTGGTAACTAAGAGATGGCAAATAAATAAGGAAGAACAGACAGAAAAGAAAATGAAAGGTGTACTTTTTCCCCCAGTGGTGAGGAAAACTGTGGGAATTTGTAGTTGAACAATTAAATTAACCCTAACCAGTAAGACAAAGTCATTTAACTCAGGAGAAGATGGAAAAGGACTGGGGGACACTGAAGAAAATATTAAGAGTAATCACACTGTTACTAAGTTTATTTTTATACCTTAACAAGTCAATGTGTATAATAAATGACCTTAAAAGCACACTTGCTGAAATCTTGTACAAAGACCACTACTATTTTCATTAGATGACTTGGATGCAAATCCCTGGCAGAACACACACATGAAATGTGACTAAGGTAGTTAACCTGTCTACTAGTTTCCTCTATCTCTGAAAGGAGAGTAACAGTACCTGTCCTACCTACCTCACAGAGTTGTTGTGAGGGTCAAGTGGGATGATGCATGAAAACTCACTCTGTAAACTTTAGAGTACTATACAAATGTTAGTTATTATCTTCATCCTAGGGTTAGAAGGAACCTCAAGAACTTATCTAGTCCCCATCTTTGTATCCAAGGAGAAGAACTTCATTTAAAAGAGCTCAACAAGATAGTGGTCTATCCTAAAATTTAAAAAGAACAAAATTCTTAATAAATATACTTTGAAATAACACAATCCTTTTTTTTTTTGAAGAGCAATTCAGCAATGAATAGATTCACAAAACTGCTCAAACCATGTCCCCAAAACCAAAAAAAAAAAAAAAAGGAAGAGAATGAATTGAAAAGAAAATGTTGGCCGGAAAACATTCTAATCTTTGCTTAAAAAGTCATACAAATGAAATGCATATTTAGACAGGGGAAAAAGACTGACAGGGTACAGATGAAAATAGAGCATTAATGGTAGTATTAATTCTTCTCTATGAAAGGTAAGGATTTACCTTTCATCTATCTTACAAATACAAAGCATGCATTACTTTCAGAGTTCACAATCCTCACCACTGTACTATGCACCACAACATGCTTCAGGAAAATGAATCAGGAGTCTCTTACAATAGAATATGGGTAGAGAGAGAGAGATGGCAAGCCCAGTCAGGCTATTCTATCATGACCAAATATTTATGCTATAATACATACTCAAACAAGAAAAAAGTTTACACTAAGTATTTTAAAAAGTAAATTAATACTCTTTTTAATTCTATATAAAAGCAATAAATATATATGTATTTTGTCAGCAAGTGTCTACTATAAGCACACACCTTATATGTAATCAGAACAATGTGAAAGAGTAAAACTGTCCAAGAGAAAAAGCTAAAACCAATACTGGTCTGGAGAGATTTAGTAACTCAAATCCACAGGCCAATTAATGAATTTTACATGTTGTTAAGTATGTACAAATGCCATAGAACAAAAGTGTGCAAGTCCAAAGACAACTTGCAGGCCCCTGGAATTTTAAAGTGAGGTCATCAGGCTTGGCAGCAAGAACCTTTATTTGCCATATCTCATTGGCCTTAAATTGAAGCTTTTTGAGACAGGTTGCATATAATCTTTTCGAAAAGCCATTAATGGCACCTACCTTGCTACCTGCTTGCCTACTGACCTACCCACTACACTAATACAATGTTTTCCTTGACTCAGCATATCTTTGAGTTACAGTTAAATGTAATGATGAAACTAAAAGGGGATACAAAGGTAAGTATATTTAGCAGCATTACTTATATCCTTATTTATATTTAGGAACATAATCATACCTAAACACCAAGTTCACGCCAAAAGGTTAATTTAATGTATGTAATATACAACTTGATAAAGCCAAACTGGCAAGTCCATACACGTCTCACTAAGAGAGAACCCTGTCTGAAAAACTAGATTAATGGCTCCTGAAGGATAACACTGAGGCAGACCTCAGGCCTCCACACACACGCACCAGCCCTCACACACAGAGACAACATACAACATACCTGACAACTGAATCCTAAGGGTTTTTAAAGTAGGGAATCAAGTGACACACCACAAAGTCAGTGTAAATAGAAGAACTGTTTAAAATGTGAACGCTTTGACTCTCCAGTATTTAAGACAATAAATAAAGCATAAAAAGAAACAAACAAAAATAAAAGAGATTTGAGTGAAACATATGAACCAGATAAGTGAAAAAAAAAATAATTCAAAAAAGCAAGTAAACGCCAAGTTAAACGTCATTGACGGGTGAAAGAAAATGCCCTTGATCTGGTATTATGATATCTACTAGTGTGACCTTAAGGAGTGGAAATAGTGATCTAGACTCAAAGAAGGAATATTTTGGTAAAGAAACAGAAAAATGAAATACAGATGCTGAAAACAAACAAAAACAAAAAAAAAACAGTGTGTGTTGACAATGAAATTCAACAGCCAAGGCCTTAAGGCCTGGACAAAATAGAATTCACTTTCACAGTTCAATTCTCCAAGTACAGAAAGGAAAAAGAAAAGACAGCAAGTAATTGCAAATCATACCTATAAAAAACAGACACAGAAATCAAACTTCAAAACACCATCTTGTAACAAGCTTCATGAAATGTAGGACATCATAAGGAAGACTAAACAGTGCGCCCGAGGGCATTCTTTAACCAATAACCGACATTACGGGACTAGGGAATATACAAAAATATACGTTGAAATTGTCCATTTCAATTTGTATCGTGCCCTATGCTTCTGAAAACACGACGGCAAGAGACATGTGTATTCACATCAATTCTAGAATGCCTACAGTGAGCTACAGTCATAATTGGCAGCCTTTAGGGGAGGGAGTACTTTAGGACTGCTTCATTTTATTTATTTCTATTATCCAGGTTCTTTTCTTCTAAGATAGACCACGGGGAGATCAATGTTCTAATCCACCTGCACAGCCTGCCTGTTATAAATGAAAAGCTGTAAATGATTATGAAAATGTAAAAAAATAACTCTAGCATGACTGAAAAATTACTGATTTACAACAAATTACTTTAACAAAAGAGCTTTTTCATAGGCTTTTCTTACAGTGTACTTTACTTGCCCTAGATCATCAAAAAGCTGTCTACTACATGTCTCCCCAATGATGGTTACTGCTTTTTTGCTTCTTGTCTTTATATATGTACTTTACACCTATCCACACACCTATACTCAGAGGCCAAGGGAAAGGTCAGCAGTTCTTACCTTTATGCCTTTCCTGCCTTATTATGGAGATAGTCTCTCACTGAAGCAGGACCACAAACCCTAGGAATCCTCTTGTCTCTGTCTTCCCAGAACTGGTGTTACCAGTGTACCCAGCTTTTTAAAAAGCTATCTGCCTGCCTACCTATCTATTGATCAGAGTCTGTGATGGGGGTGGGATCCATGTGTGCCGCCTGGCCCACGTGTGGAGATCTGAAGACAATTTGCAGTGCTCTGTGGGTTCCAGGGATCAAACTCAGTCAGTCAGCACTGGCAGCAAGCATCTTTAACCATTGAGCCACGTCACCAGCCCAAACCCAGCTTTTCATGTAAATTCTGTGGTCTGTGGTGGTTTGCGTGAGGATTTGCTTCCCAGGTGATTGTGCTATTAGGAGGTGTTTGTTTGTTTGTTTTTGTTGTTGTTCTTTGTTTTGGAGGGGGGCTGGCCTTGCTGTTGTCACTAGAGGCAGGTTTGAGGGCTTAGACTCTGGCCATGTCCATCTTGCTCTATTTTGTGCTTACATTTATTTGAAGGTGTGAAATCTGAACTTCTGTTCCTGCCACCATGCCTGCCAATTCCCTAACATGAAGTATCTTTATCCCTCTGGAACAATTAGCCCCAATAAACTCTTTCTTCTGTAAGTTGCCTACGTCATATTTTACCATAGCAACAGAAAAATAACAGGATCAAAATTACTGGATCAGTCAGGTATTCATGCTTGCATATCAAGCACAGTACCAAATGACCCATTTCCATCACTTCCAAATGCTGCTCTTAATAGACACACTCAAATAAACCGTGTCTTTCCCTATGTAAGAAATGATATACAATAGATTTCTGCAGGTAGACTGGGGGAGGGGGGGAACAGATGGGGTTGGAAACAGGAGGGACCAGGTGGGGAGAGGGGAGGGCGAAAGTACTGAAAGTACTGGAGAGGGTTGCATTTTGGGGATGAGGTAGGTATAACGGAAACTCCATGCAATCTATAAAAGTAACCCTAGAAAAGACTCCTAATAATGGGGGACACGTCCTGAACTGGCCATCTAAGGTAACAAGGCAAGGCATCAAGTAGAGGGTTTAGAACACCATACCAGCCACAAAACCTTTGACCTAGTTTGTCCTGCCTGCAGTGTTCTGGGACTGGAGCCTAGCAGAATCATTATCAAAGAGACCAGAAAGACTTCATCCAGCAACTGATGGGAGCAGATGCAGAATCCTACAGCAAACATTAGGCAGAGTATGGGTAAGAAGTCCTGCAGGGGGAAAAAAGCTCAGAGGAACCAGATGGGCCAGGGACATCATGAGAATTCAGCTCACAGATTCAACTAACTGACCAGGACCCATGGGGGTTCGGAAGAGATCAGGGAGCCCATAGGAGTCTGACCTAGGTCCTCTACATATGTGTTATAGCTGAGTAGCTTGATGTTCATGTGGCATTCC